TAACTAGTCTGCCCCCACCTCCACCCAAACATACAGCACACACACATACAGCACACACAGCCCACAAACAGCACCCACACACACACACACACACACAGCACCTACACACATACATTACCCTCGCACACACAGCACCCACACACATACAACACCCACACACACCCAGCACACTAACAGCATCCTCACAAACACACAAAACCCACACACAACACCCGCACAGCACCCACACACAAACAGCACACTCTCATACAAACAGCACCCTGACAAACACACACCTGCACACTAACAGGACTCGACCAAACACGCACACACAAACACCCTCTCACACACACACACACACAGCACACTACCAGTTCCCTCACAAACAGCACCCTCACACACAGCACACTAACAGCACCCTCACACACACACACACACACACACACAGCAGTGTGTGTGTATACATATATATATATAACAGATATATATATATATACACACACACACACACATACATATACACATGGCGTGTGTTTGTGCTTTAGGGTGCACACCCTAATGCAATAGGCTGCGCACACCTATGCTCACTTCCCTAATCTATAGGCTGCCCCCCCATGCCTCACTCCCCTAATCTATAGGCTGCTGCCCCCTCCCAGCCTCACTCCCTAATCTATAGGTTGCTGCCCCCACCTCCCCTAATCTATAGGCTGCTGCCCCCTCCCACAATCTATAGGCTTCTGCCCCCTCCCCAGCCTCACTCCCAATCTATAGGCTGCTGCCCCCCCAAAAAAATCTATAGGCTATCTCAAACCCTCCCCCCATCCCTCACTTACCTGATCTGTAGGCTGTCTCTGGCTGCATGTGTTGTTCCCCTGCGGTTTCAATCAGCAGAGAGAAGCAGGGATAAGATGCAGCTTCCTATCCCTGTCTCTCTCCATACACAGCCGGCGCCGGTATTGCAGTTCATTTTAAATCTCACACGAAAAATAGCAGAACAAGCTGAAAAATCCAAGGGGGGGCGGGGGGGGGGGGCAAGTGCCCCCCCTTGCCGCCCCCTGTGGACGCCCATGCCAGAGATACAATTTTTTTTTGTGGTTTTCGAAGTGGTCAGTGCAAAAAGAAATCCAAAACCAAATATATTATACCCTTTCTATTTGGATCACATAAAAACATTTTTTCTAGTGGTGTTATCTCTAGTGCTTTATAGTGTTTGTCAGTGTCCGGTATGTGATATAATTCTTTCAATTTTTCAATGATTAACATGCATTCTTCTTTACAATCATTCATTTGTCCATGTTTATGTTTTAATTTTTCAAATGAAAGGATGGTATTACCATGAAAAAAACTATCTATGCTCGTTATAGGGTATTCTTTCAATAAATCTAGATTCGAAAAAATAAAAATTCCATTCAAGAAGGCTGCCAAATTTATAGTGGTGGAAAACAAAAGAGTAGTGAAAACAAACACTTACTGTCAGAAAAAGTGGTGGAAAGATTATCAATCCATTGTGTTACCAAAAAAGTGATGTATATTATAAATTACTGTTGGGGCACAAAAGAAACAGCAGATGGAAAAACGCAGACTTTATAAATTACGCTGAAAATTAGGTAATAATTATACATAATAGTTTCAGCGGCACTGACAAATCTCCCTCTATATATTTCCTCTTCTCTGCAGGGTCCATGGGTCATCACCTGAAACCTAATCTGCACGATACAGTGTTTTGCCACTACAGAATGTGTCAGTACAGGTAAATCAAGTTTGGCAACCCCCACATATACCAAGTTCTGCAGAAACTAAAATTTGTACATTATGTGGGCTGAATCACATGTAACATATCCCTTGATGTTTTAGTCAGTGATTATAGGCTAAATTACTTTGAGACCTTTAATGACACTCTTACATTCCTCGTAATTACTGCGTGGATACTTTCCATTCCTTGGGTTACTGTAGAGCAGGCCAGAGTCATTTAATTTCATTTTACAGTCTAATTTTACCATCATGTTTATTGAAGAAAATCCAGGAGCAACACTTGTATCATGTTGAAATCCTCCCAACGTACCTGATAGACCAAGGTGGCATAAACTCAAATTCAAAGTACAAAAGAAACAGATGTCCTAGCACTTAGTGGTAAATCCATTACAAATTGTAATGGAACACTGAGAGTCAATGTTTCGACTCCAATGAGTCTTTATCAAGCCATAAAATGTCCGGACATCTGTTTCTTTCGTAATTTTGCCATCAAGGTCCTTACGATCACCCTGGTTTTACAAACCATGAATGGAATTACCTAAAACGCTACAATTTTTGTTTTAAGCACTGCCCAGCATTTTCTCAAGATATGTATCAACTGTCTGTTATATCTTTCATTCTCTGTGACAAATGTGAGTCACTTCGACTCCTGTCTAGTTGTGGGTAACAACAAGGATGTGTAGTTTACAAACTAAGCATACATCAGTTCTGGTAATAGACCTCTATTATAATTTTAAGCCCTACCAGCCTATCATCGGACAAGATCTTGTCTGTTAGTGTCATCAACGTCGGAAGGTATTTTACATGTGATTCATGCTGCGTAGTTTACATTCTGAAGTCCCATTGTGACAAGGATGTGTAAGAAAGGCAGTGCAATAGGTTAAGGAGAGGTTTCCCAATCCCTGTTCTATGTTTAGGACTGTTACACTTGACTTGCCTGTAAAAAAAACATTTTCTATGGGCATGACACAGTGTTACGCATTTTAGGTTATGGGTGATAGACAATGTATCAACGGTGAGACAAGGGCAGACATATAAAAAGGCCTTGAATGCATTATTTTGTGTTAAATGTTAATGAACCATTAGGAATGAATGAGGGTTTTGATCGCTCCCTTTTCTTGTCAGATACGAACAACTTTTCTTTCGTTTCCCTTCTTTTTCTTCTTTCTCCCTTTATGTCTTTTTTCTCTTTATTGTCAAGTTTCTTTTTTTTTGTTTAAAAATACAATAACAATAACATACCATGTATTTGAAACATAGAATATATATATAGATAGCACATGTATGATAAAACATCAGTTTGGTGTATAGATTGTGTAAATATGCATAATTATAACTATTTTAGGTATACCTCCACAGCAATTTTAAGTTTTAATTTACAATAATGTTATTGGATGAATAGAATTTTAATTCTTTAGTATACTTCATCCTTCAATATTTTAGAATATTAGCACAGAAGAAGAAATGCCTTTTATCTCATATACAGTAGAAATGAAAAATACATTTATAAAAAAGGTCAAATCCTCTTTGTATGGGTATTTGCAAGGAACTTGATGTCATCTCTGCCCAGGCAGCTTCATACAAAAGGCCACAAGCATCTGCCCTATACAAGTTATTACAGCATGCTACTGCAGCTTGTAAAGAGTGACTGTAGTGTGCGTTGTGTGCTCATGGGTTAATAGGAATTAACACGGACACTGATAATCAATTCCCTGTGATATAAGGGTCCGTGAGTTAACACATATATCTTAATTTTTAGCACTGGAGCTTCCAATGAGGATGGCGTGACCTATGGGAGCAACAGGCATCATTAGGTCCCCTGAGACGCTAGTGCAGTCACTAGTAAGTCTATGCCTGATGTAATATTTATTTTGTACCATTATTTGGCATACTGCCTACATAGTATTTTCATTAGATCACTACTTAGATGATATGCCTCAGTTATTAAAGATACCTTTCCAAGCACAACAACTTCATTGGAATGGTCCCTGGCATTGGCTTATCATCAGGGGTTAAACTGTTAAAGAAAGTGTTGAATCCAGTGCCATTTAGCTCTGCCCATCTCCTTCCACTTCAGTCTGAGGCTTGAGTCAGGAAGTCTCAGACAGGTGTGCTCCTGATAGTCTCTGCTGACACTCTCAACCCATCAGTAGTTCCCCATTAACAAAATGGGAGCTACCGATAGACTGATTCAACGCTATGAGGTTAAACCATTTGTCAACAATTTAACCCATGATGCTAAGCCAGCTCCAGGGACCTCCAGACACAATAACAACTTCATGCCAATGAAGTTGTTATTGTGCCCGAGAGGTCGTTAAGCTAATTTGGCAATGATATCCATCTTTATACTTTGAGGTTTTGAATGTTGCACATTTATGGTTTGCTTGAGTTGCCTTCATTAAATTGGAATTGGCTCTTTTTGCTTCTTGATGCACACAGCTACTTTGTCAGTTGATGGATTCTTAATAAGCAAGATTTAAACATAGAAACATAGAATGTGACGGCAGATAAGAACCATTCGGCCCATCTAGTCTGCCCAATTTTCTAAATACTTTCATTAGTCCCTAGTCTTATCTTATATTATAGCCTTATGCCTATTAATGTGCAGTTTCGTTTAAATAATACAACACAATATAAGCAGTTTGTTGCAGCACTGAAAATCTCATAAACATAATTGTTTAGTATTATCGCCCGTGTTAGAATATTATTTGCACTTTCATTCTAAGAATGGCTTGTTATTAGGTTGGTTTATATTGCACTATAAGCACTTCTTAGTGCATTTTATTCACATATCATTAGGTGTATATGTACAATAGTTAACTTATTTATACTATATATATTTGTGCCATTTTAAAATAGGTTTCATATGATATGTCCTATTGTTAAATTGCTCTTTTAAAAAAAAAAAAAAAAATTTTTGAATACACCTCTATTTCCTTTAACAAGGTTCCTCCACAGCTTTCAGTGAGCGTGTCAGGCAGAGGCTGCATGCACGCTATGATTTTCTCACTAAACCTTTACCAGACACATTTGTTGGTGAATATTTCTGCTGTTTATTTCAGTGCTGGATTACCAGTCTAATGCTGCAGATTGTGAAAGCCTAATTGAAGCTTGTAGAAATAAATTAAAGCAGTCATTCTCGGGGACATCACATATCTCCTTTGTGACGGACCGCCTGGCACCCCAAATGGGTACCTCCGTCAGTCGCTGCTTCCTATTACTTGTGAGCACCATAAGCACTGCACTGGAACATCATAACCATCGTAAACCCCACAAACCGCCGCAGCTTGGTTGGGGTCTCGCTGTCCTCCACCCACTCTGGACCCGAGACCAGGATCCAGTGGTTATAACTCTCCTTGTCCAGAGAGCGAAGGGAGTATAGTGTTTATAGCAATCCCCAGATTGTGAATATAGCTCTCCCTCTCCAATCCCCCAAACATGAACCTAGACTTCATGAAGGGTAAAACGAATCTCAGTTTAATGGTAGCCACAACTGGTCTTTTATGACAGTCTCCATGCAAGGGGTCCTCCCCCCTGGACCTGAGCATAAACCACAGTAGAAATAAATACACAATCACACTGGCTCTCAGGTCCAGAACACTCCCATACAAAATCAGATAATCCCTCCTCTGTGCCTGGGAGATAATTGGATCAGGAACTGTACTAATCTAACCCAATTATCTCCAAGCACAGAAAAAACTAATTTTTACAAACACCCCAAAAGTACCTTAAAACACGCAAAATCCCCACAAAGGTTACATCCCCTAATAGCCCTGATCTGGGTGACCAACATATCCAAAAATCACCAAGATCAGTTCAGGGGTTGAGGAATTTCCTGGAAGTCTTAATTTTGACCGACCGCCCGCCCGCCGGCATGGTCCCATGCCCCAAACAGTTCCAGAAAATAAGGGCTTGCGGTCGGTTTAGTTCGGTAGTTCCCAGTTCCCGAACCATATAGTTCAATTACGCGAATCAAGTCTGTACACATAGTTTTTAATAAGGGCCCATAGTCTTTTGGTAAGAGGCCGGGCAGCAGGCCCCTCCAAGCACCCGTGACGAGGTTCAGTTCGTCACATCCTTACTTTCCTTAGGAATGTGAAGCAGTTACTGGCTACAGAGGATGCCTCAGTGATGCACTTCATTTCAGAAGTAGAAAGTCATATATATATTATTGCCATAAAAGATATGACCGCTCAGTGCTCTGAAATTGATACACAGTAGGGACTGCGGTGGAAATTGACACATGGAAGGAATTTAAGACACAAGGAAGAGAGTGGTGGGTAATTGTGACACATGGAGTGACTGGGGGGAATTGAGACACATGGAAGGGACTGGAAGCTAAATAAGACGCATGAAAGGGACTGTGGGAGGTAAAATCGACACATGGAAGGGACAGGGGTGGTTGAGACATATGGAAGGTACTGGGGGTAAAACTGACACATGGAAAAGATTTGGGGGAAAGGGGCAACACATGGAAGAGACATATGGAGGGGCTGGTTGGGAATTGAGATATATTCAAGGGGGGCATGAGACATGTGGAGCAGGGTCATATTTGCACCATATTTGGGCCCGGTGGTTTTAAGTTATGCTTCTTCCAGGTCAAATTCTTTTAAGCATACTGAAAGTATTAATTTCTGTTTAGCTAAATCATAAGGCAAGCAACCTTGTACATTACAAGGACGTGTATGTAGTTTCTTCTTTGCCCATGATCATCTTTTCTATCCTATTCGAAGAAGACCCTATCCCTATAACCTCCTGTTTTAAGAAGACCTTACCCACTAATGCTCACTAGACTTTTTTTAGAGCAATGATTTGTTATATGCTTTCACCATGATGCTTGCACGAGCTGCCCATGGTATTAACTAATGATTGTTAGTATTTGATTGGTAATTAATGAAGCACCTAGACTGCATTTTTATTGCTTCCCTTAAAACATTTTAAACATTGAACATTCTTTACATGGACTCCATTGTATGGTCAAATCATTGATTGTTCCACAAGTACAGGCTGGATAGAAACTAAAGTCCATGGCAGTAGAGGTCTGGTGATCACCGAGGAGCTGTTCTAACACTACACATACCCCTCTTTCTCCTGTCTCTCAGCCTTGTCTATTTACCCATTTCACAAACTTTGAAAACCTCTCTCATCAGGACTGGCTTGTTCATCCCTCTCCAGTTCTTACAAGAAAGAATGGGACATGCCACATTGCCACCTGCTGTCAGGACGATGCTATTCGGTTTTCTTTTTTTGCAAATGCTGCTGTTGCTTCTAGCTCTCGCAATACGTAAAGTCAGCATTACTCTTTGACCAGCCAGCTCACAGCAGATTTAGGCCAATGCTCCATTAGAGCACAACATTACAGAGCATGGAGGAGAAAGGGGTAGTAACAATATTTATATTTAATAAATAAAATAAAAAAATCCCCTCTGCTTGGAAGAATACTGAAGTTGAGTGTTACTGTAAAACAATTTATGGATGACATTATACTGTAAGTCCACGTGGGCTGTATTGTATTTAAAAAAATAAAAGAAAATCTATACACACATTCAAATTTGAGGGTCCTTGCTACTAGGGAGGCCTTTAAGGTTACTCTCTACTGCAAGTCATAGTACAATTATCAGTGGTAAATTTCAAGTCACCAATGGATATACATTTTTAGCCCTGCATATATAAACACACATACATATATGTAGTAAATAACAACAAGTGCATATGAGTATATCTCCCTTCTACTCAGTAGAGGTAAATGGTCAACCACTTGAAAGATAAGCTATAAAATGATGTGTCTCTACAGAATGTCTTGTAACAGGAACATCATTTTTGGCAATTCTCCACATATACCATGTCCTGCAGGCACTTAAACCCTTAAGGTCGAATAACAGTCTACGATATCCTACCATTCTACAGTTAAGAACAATGATTTGTAGGTGTGATTGATTAGTGCCAGTAGAGATATAAGATGAAGAGGTACAAGTGCAAGCTGAAAGCATTGGGTGTGCATTTGTAAATACACTTTGTGTAGCTCACGTATGGTGTACACACATCTTTTACTCATGACAAATGTACTTTAGAGTATGCTTCACAGACTTTGCATAGGAGTCTATAAAGGTCACACAAATAATTATTTTAAAACACAAATAATCCAAGCACTTGATTTGCAACCTTCACAGTCCATATGAATACTGCAGGGAATTTCCGTTATAACTGAAGGCCCTCTAAACCTTCTGCTTGTACGAAGAATACAGCTTTCCTGGCCAACATTACTGCACATTGTCCAAACAATATCCCGGACTCCATAATACATAATTTTCCCTGGAAATAACTCTGAAGGTGTTGCCCAGACTCAGCATTTCCAATAAAACAGGGCTCACCCATTCATAATAATTTTCAAGGTAGAAAGCCATATAAGTGAATCCTGCAGATAATCTTAATATCAGAGCCAAAACAGAGCTGCCTCAATGTTCAAAAACAAATTGGAGTACAATATAATGTGGAATGTTTAGGCCAGGATGTATCAAAGCGTTTTCTGTTGTAGACCATAGCCTGGATTCTTACTCTTACTTGTTACAATTTAACAAGAAACATCTTTGGCCTTGTTCACTATAGATTCCTATCATGAATTTACAGACACACAAATATGCTTCTCCATGGACTGGGCTAAAAATGGAGCAGGAATGTTTCATAAAGCAGAACAAGCAATTCTCTGGAAATTACAGCATTGCAGGAAAAAATGTAAAATCACGTATCACTTGTGCTATTTTTTTAATGAATATTAAAGATTAAGCAAACAATATCAGTAAAGTTCAGTCTAGGCACAGGATGCAAATGAAGCAGAAAAATATTGATTGGTTATTTTTTCTGCTAACAGGGTAATTTACTAATCACTGGACTTTGTCCAGATGGACATTTGCTGGCCGAATTCTGACAGAAATGTCAGTATATGACTGCTCAGTACTCTTGTATGACAAGCTGATTTTTGAAAGTTGAAAGCCAGTTGATTGCCAATATGTATTTTCTTGCTAAGGTTATGTTTGTTAGGCTAAATACAGATGCTCATCTTGAGCCCTTGTAGTATCTTTCCCATCTGCAGCTAAATTCTACTTTTGATTAACAAATGTACACACACACGGCTGGTGCACTGTTGCGGTCGCAGTGTGACTGGCAGGAGGGGAGCGCACAGCACAGCACAGCACAGCACTCCCCTCCTGTCGGTCAATGTATGTAGCATAGCCTAGCGGACCTCGGGTAGAGGAATCTCTGCTTCCCTTTTCCTGGTCTGACAGGAAGTGCTCAATGAGAGCACTTACTGTCAGATCAGGTACCGTGATCCGCTTGGCCCTGCTACAGGAGAGAGCATGTACAGAGGAGGAAGGAGTACAGACACACGGAGGGGGCGAATTGAGACACATGAAAATATATGGAGGGTGGGGGGGATTGAGACATATAAAAAGTACTCAGGGCGAGGGGGGAATTGAGATGCATGAAATGGAGTGGGGGGGAACTGACACACGTGGAAGGGATGAGGGAGAATTGAGACACAGAGAAGGGACTCTGGGGGAAATGACACATGGAAAGGACTGGAGGGAATTGAGAGGAGACATATGGAAGGGAATGGGGGAATTGACACATGGAAGTGAATGGTTGGGGGGGGATTAAGACACATGGAAAGGGCAGGAATTGACACACACAGAGGACCTCGGGGGGAATTGACACATGGAAGGGAATGAGGGTAAATTGAGACGAGACACATGGAAGGGACAGGTGGGGGGAACTGACACATAAAAAGGACTGGTGGGGGATTGAGACACATGGAAGGGACTGGGGGTAGATTGACATATGGAAGGGAGTAGAGGTGGATTGAAACACATGGAAGGAACTCTGGGGGGTGAAATTGACACACAAAAGGGACTGCGGTGGAAATGGACACATGGAAGGAATTTAAGACACAAGGAAGAGAGTGGTGGGTAATTGTGACACATGGAGTGAATGGGGGTTGGGCTTGACACATGAAAGGGACTGGGGGGAATTGAGACACATGAAAGGGACTGGAAGCTAAATAAGACACATGGAAGGGACTGTGGGAGGTAAAAATCGACACATGGAAGGGACAGGGGTGGTTGAGACATATGGAAGGTACTGGGGGGTAAAACTGACACATGGAAAAGATTTAGGGGAAAGGGGCAACACATGGAAGAGACATATGGAGGGGCTGGTTGGGAATTGAGATACATTCAAGGGGGGAATGAGACATGTGGAGGTGCTTGGGGGGAGGGGGGGCAATGAGACACATGGGTGGGACAGGGTCATATTTGCACCGGGGCCCGGTGGTTTAAAGTTATGCTTCATCCAGGTCAAATTCTTTTAAGCATACTGAAAGTATTCATTTCTGTTTAGCTAAATCATAAGGCAAGCAACCTTGTACATTACAAGGACGTTGTGTATGTAGTCGCTTCTTTGCACATGATCATCTTTTCTATCTTATTCTATCCTAGATTTACCAACGCTAAATATGTTCTGACCCACTGATTCTGCACTAATCTGCTTGGACGCATTTGGTGATCAGAATAAAATCAGTGCTGTACCAAGTACAGAATTCAGAATAGTTATAAAGAATCAAAAAAAAAATTTTTTTTAAATTACTGACTGACTGCAGGATGCATGTAAATTATAATTTAAATGCTATTCGCTTGCTGGCAGTACTAGCAGCAAGTCAACAAATTTGTTTAATAAGCCTTGGAAGAGCAATGGTTAACTATGTGGAAGCTGGCCAGCTTGTCACATTAAAATGTAGAAATAAATTGGTTGTAAAGATATACTTATATTATTGGATGGTGCCATCACATGTTTTATTAACGTTTCCCATATGGTACATGTTAAAGAATTTCTTTAGAAATTCTGTAGAATTTCCTTAAAGATCTTTCAATTATCCAATGTGGGTTTTTTGGCAGTGCAATGGTTAACCATGTGGAAACTAGCCAGCTGTCAAATTCAAATGTAAAAAAAAAAAATATAGGCCTATGGGTGTAAAAATGACCTCCATATTAGTATGCAAAAGATTGTAAAGCTCCCTTTTGCCCCCACTTGCTAGACAGCAGCTGGGGGCATATGTACTATTTACTTAACAGCGAGTTGCCACTGGCGGCTTTTGGTAAATATGAACTAGTGACTGGGCAGCCATAGCGGTTTAGTTGCTAGAGAGACCTCATCCCATACTTTATAAAAGTTTTCCACAGGGTATGTGTCAGAACATTTCTTTGTCTTTCCGGTACTGTTCACAGGAAAACGGACACAGCACAACTGAAAGGGCTTTTTTTTTTTTTTTTAGCAATTCTATAGAATTTCAGTTAGTTGTAAAGATAAACTTATCCCATTGAAAGGTGCCACCACGTTTTTATACACGTTTCACAAATGGAAAGTGTTAAAACATTTCTTTAAAAAGTCTGTAGAATTTCCTTAAAAATCTTTGATTATTCTGTGTGCTTTTTCCAGTGAGCAGTTCCAGATATTTAGATATTTTAAGTTGATCTGAAATTGTACCACATTACGATATTATGGTCACTATTTTACAAGTGCTCCCAAGCATCAATATTTAAAAACAGGTCACTGTTACTAGTTATTACAAGTAACTATTGTAGTTGGTGCTTTTAATTGTGACAAGAAAGTATTGTTTAACAGGCTCAAAACCCTGTTCCACCTAACTGTGCTATCCATCCTAGTCATTGTCTGGATAATTAAAATCTCCAATGATTAATGAATTACCCAGATTGCTGCCAAATTCATTTGAGATAGTTATTTTTCCCCATCAGCATAAATGTTTGGGGGGGGTGTAACAGTTACATAGCTGAAAAGAGACTTGCATCTATCAAGTTCAGCCTTCCTCACATATGTTTTTGCTGTTGATCCAAAAGAAGGCAAAAAGCCCAGTCTGAAGTGCTTCCAATTTTGCAACAAACTAGAAAAAAATTCCTTCTTGACCCCAAAATAGCAGTCAGATGTCTCCTTGGATCAAGCAGCTATTACCCCACTAATTAGAAATTATATCCCTATATGTTATGTTTTTGCAAGCATCTATGCAATTGCAGTTTAAACATCTGTATGGACTCTGAAAAAAACACCTCTTCAGGCAGAGAATTCCATATCCTTATTGCTCTTACTGTAAAAAACAAAACAAAAAAAAAACAACAACTTTTCTTTGCCTTAGATGAAATCTCCTTTCTTCCAGCCTAAATGTGTGACCTCGTGTGCTATGTATAGCCCTGTTTATGAATAGATTTCCAATGCTCCATTTCTTTTATCAATTTTGTAGCTCATCTCTGCACTTTTTTTGTGCCATGATATCCTTCTTTAGAACAGGTGCCCAACATTGCACAGCATATTCAAGGTGTGGTCTTTTCAGCGATTTATAAAGAGGCAAAATTATATTTTCATCCCAAGAATTTATACATGACAAAACCTTACTGGTCTTCGCAACTGCAGATTGACATTGCATAGTGCTGCCCAATTTGTGTGTGGTTATCCCTAATTCACTACCACTTAAGGTGTAAGTTGCTTGTGCATTCTTGACCCGAAGTGCATAACTTTGCATTTCTCTACATTAATGTTCATCTGCCATTTTAGTGCCCAATCTATCCAAATCCCTCTGCAGCAAAGCAATATCCTGCTCACATTTTATTACTTTACAAAGTTTTGTGTCATCTGCAAACACTGAAACATGGCTTTCAATGCCAATTGCAAGATAATTTATAAATATGTTAAATGGAAGCGGTCTCAAAACCCTGAGGGACACCATTTACCACTTTTGTCCAGCCTGAAAATGTACCATTAATGACAACTAGTTGTATTCTATCCTACCAAAAGAACAAGAATATTCATCTAGACCAATTTCTTTTAGTTTGAAACATATTCCTACTATTAACAAAAAAACCCTGTTCGCTCCTATGCAAATATCTACCCAATTCTTTAACACGACTTTGATTCAGGATTGATATATAAACATATCCCTCCTGCTTTTCCATTTCTATAAACAGTCCAATAATATATGTTTCATCCCACCAAGCCTCAGCAATTATGCCATACTATTCCTTGTATGCCAATATCTCAAGCTCCCTCATTTTGTTAGACAAGCTTCCTGCATTCACAAGCAGACATTTACAGCTACAATTTTTATTTTATTTGAAAAAACTGAATACCTTCTTACTTCGCCTGCTAATCAAACCATCACCCACTTTTTTTTCCACTTAAGGCACTTAAAACATCTTCTGCCAGGGTGCTTAGCAGGAGATGGTAAAATAATACAAAATAAGACTACTTATTTTGTATAGTGGGGGCTAGAACATGACATCCACCACACACTGCTGAAGAAATGTAGGCCAAAAGCAGTGGTGCCTATGACAAATGTGAACACCCCCCTCCCAAAAAAATCACTATTTAGTAGATACACCCCCACAGAAAACATGCATGCAACTAATTATGCATTTCTTTCATTTGGGTATATCTAAAATAGCCTGTTAAAGCTGCGGATCTTGTCTGCAGCCTTTGCAAGTTTACCATTTTTTTTCTCCAGCACAAACAGACTTTCTGTGGCTGTCCAATCACAGACTTTCCAATGTGGCTCAATGAGAAGTCTCTGCAAGACAGGTGCTCTGGGCAATTGCCTGTGTCAAATCCAGCTCCACTGAGCTAAACAACTAGGAAGTAACTAGATGCGTGATAGACAGGGTGTGTAATGAGGTTCATTTATAAAAGTGCCAATTTCTATTGAAACCTATACTTTGTGCAAAGTGAAAAAAGTAGGCCACACTCTTCACACATAAAGCATCCCGGCGAGCTAAGTGCTTTAGATATCTGGAGTGTTCCTTTAATGTAGTTTCAGAGAAATATTGGTTTCACTATTAAATAATAATTGAACTGTTTAAATTGTGAACCTTCTATTTAAATCACTTTTTCTATTGGAATACAATTTTCCTAATAATTTAATTTCATCAATGCAAACCTGGGCAGCTTGAAGATATGATACATTATAGAGAATAAATACGGTACTTCCTGCACCCTACTGGCAGGGTTAAACACTGCCAGTAATAGAGTGCAAACTAGATTAACAATGCATTAGAATATAGAAAAACTGGTTAATGTTTGTAATGACTAGTGTGATAAAAATCATGCTTCCTTTCGTTCTCATATTTAATGTCCAATCTGTGGTTATATGCTTCCAAAACAACATGGTTTGCACATAACGGCTTAATAGGTATATACATACATATATATATATATATTAAAAAACCAAAAACATATGCAACATTCTACTAATAGCAGTTTTTATTAGTTAAATGTTTGTATTTTCTGCAAAATGTTATTCTTGTGATTAAGACCTAGGATTCAAATTCAGTACTTAACAAATGATACATAAACCCTGTACATGTAAAGGAACCAGCCAAATGTGACTGGAACCGCAAGTGCTAAAAAATGTGAAAATTATCCTTCATTTTGTACAAACATCACTATAACAAGCTGAAGGTGCAAAGTATCATTAGACGCAGTAAACACATGGAAACAAAACAGATAAACAAAAAAAATAAGGGTGTTATCACCACACCATTTCAGTCAACCTTCTTGGATAGAGAACCATTTGTAAGGATGACATCATTAAAAGCATCCATTAGCAGCACCGAATGTCCACAGAATCATCACATCTACAAAGTTTCCCCCCACCAAGAAATGTCCAGCTGGAGAACCAAAAATGATACTGTCTGTGACTTGTTCTTCTTGTTTATAAAGCTACTGAACCGGGTAGATGGAATGTCACTGTACATCCCATGTCAGCCAAAGGTATGGTAAATACCAACGGTGAGATACTAGGATAAATGCTATTTCTGTGGATGGTAACAGCCCTTCAAACCTTGCTGGTATACTTTGGGAAAATACCAGCAAGGAGTTTAACCTCATCCTCCTGTAGAGGGGCCCCTTCGGCCAGGTCTCCACACGCATGTGCCACCTCCATCACCAGTGAGTGGGTTAAACCCTATGGGGAAACAGAAAAAAAACCACAGAAGATAAAGTAATGTAACTACAATACCTGTTAACATTAGTTTAAAACCTTTATTATAAAATATATGAAATGTCTACTGCTGAGAAAACCTAATATAATGAATGTTGCAGACGTTTCAAGTTACCATTCAATTAACATAGTTTGAGGAACGACGCTATGCAGACTGATTTTTATTTAAGTCTAGGCACTTGTCATACATGCATATTATTCCACCATCTACCAAAATGCATGTATGAGACCTATTAACGCCAAGCAGTCTGATAGCGGCATTTCTGTGTCATATTAGTTTAAGGTATCTTTACTGCAGACTAGAGGATGAATACACAGACCGGTCATATTTTTAGTTATGGAAACTAAACTTTCATTATGAATAGATATCCTACACAGATTTCAAGAGAAACCCATAGTAAGAAAACAGTGCAACTGATGGAAAAAGGAAGGGGAGGGTGGGTGGGGGAGGGGGGAGGATATTCCAGCACAGATTTCCTAGAAGAGGCTTTTATATTATAGTACCCCTTGTGTTGCAACATCTAAAAAAGACTAACATTTTTCCTTCAGTACAATCTGTTAAAACATAGTACACATAAGTGTCTTGCCAAAATACTCAGCTCAAAGTATTTCAATAGAATCTACGGCCTCAAACTGCCATCGTAATGAGTACAATGGATCTGCAAGGGGTTACAGTTTCACAAACATCAAATGAAGTGGCTTAGGGGACATTGAAATCAACCTGAAGTAATGGCTAATAGACCTTCTTCATTCTCTCTACATTTATCTTGTTGTTACAGTAAGCCTTAATGCTCCTGTACCAGATTGTTGAGGGTGACGACATCCTGGCCAGACGCAAGTCAGATATTTGAGAGAAGTTTATGTTCTGGCACCACAGGAAAAAAAACATATGGTATCAATAGATTTTTTTTATTCTATTTTTGCCCAACAAAATGAAGGTTGTTTAGTATGTTTTGCAAGGCAAGCAGAAGATAAATATATTACTTGACTTCAACGACTTCTGATTTAGTCATTTAAAATTTTACTAACCACTTCCACGCAGAGACCGCTTTTCTGTTTTTGGCTTTAAGGGGGTGGAAGATGTGGATGTGCTGGGAGATGGAGACGAGGTCTGACAATAGAAAAAAAACAAAAACAAATGTTTACATCAGCTTATAATCAATACGGTTTATGAACGTGTATTTAAAAACAGCTTAGTTACAGATGCAGAGTAAGCCCATATGTGTCAAAGGCTTACTCAAACCCTTTGGGGGGAGGACTTTTGTAAAATGCCATTGTGACGAGACCAATCTCGCCACATTGCATTGGAGAAGCCTGGTTGCTCGCCTGCTGCCTTTGGACTATGGCCCCCTTTTTAAAGACTTTATTTTTGCCTGCAGAAAAGCTGTATTCATGCTTTTCTGCCTGGGGTTCAGTAGATTTGTTTGAATGTGTTATACCCCAGATAGGAATCCCATGGAGCCCATTCGTATGAAACTGACTGTAAAGACTTTAGCTCCATGGCGATTAAACTGTATTTGTGTGGTCCGAGCGCCATTCACTTAATAATGTGCGCTCAGACCTGAGCTATCTGAGGATATGTGAAATGTCTGTGTGTTATGTGTAAAATGTAACTTTATGTATTTTAAAGTGTTTTACTGTCTTTGTGTCTTTTTGCAACCATGTGCTTAATGGAGTCTTGTGTCTATCCTGGGAGATAATTGAATTACTTATCTCCAGGATAGAAGACTCTGAAACTAGTTTGGGCCAGAAAGCCATGCTTCATTTAGTCACAAAGGACTTTTTACTAACTTTTGAACCCCTTGTCTGATTTGTGCCATTTTTGAATATGTTGTTCCCCTGAATGGATTGATTGAGAATATGAAATTTTATGTGAATGTGATGTATGGTTTTGGAGTTATGAAAGTTGGGTAGAAAGTATGTTTTAACTGTTTGTATAATTGAGTTTCCTCTCAGGATAAGGGGAGGGAATATGTGGGATGTAACTGTGATATGATTGGTTGTTTTATCCCTCCCTGTGGGTGGTCCTGTATTTGAAACACTGTAATAAAAACCAGGCTGGGTGTGCCAGCACCTCAGACCACTGCTTGACCCTCAACACGGAGCCTTGTCTCGTTCTTGGGGGGATTCACTGTATGCTGTTAGAGACTGATTGCCAGGAGTGTAAGCTGTTCGTCTGCTTTTCCTGTTCGTCTGCTAGCAGCTATTTGGGAGGTTCCAGTTCGGGAGTTGGAGTGCTATTTTGTATCCAGTTCGTGAGTTTTGGTGTTCTGCAGTAGCTGTGCCTGGATCTCTGGAAAGGGGGCCGATCGCCTAAACGGTTTTTACCCCTTGTGTGCAAAACGGTCCGTTACAGCCATACTGGGCACTATTTTTTTTATCCTCCCCAAAACTAAAAAGGAAATAAAAACGGTTTTAACTTGCCTAGAATCCAGCGCCGGGCGAATTGTCAGGCACCAACTGCCAAAAACCTACCTGGCATCAGTTAGGACGGCCCACCTTCCAATTGGGCCATTTCACCGTCTCAGAGTGCAGGTGAGCAATCTGAGCCAGTGAGGGGTGGGGGAGAAATACAGGGATGGAGGGAGGTGGGAAATGTATTATTTAGTTTTTTTATTTGGGAATGAGAGAGAGGAAAAAAAACAGTTTACACATATTAAATTGCAAATGATCAATGGGTCATTGGGCTAGTTGTATTACTTATATCCAATATTTTTTTATTTTTTTTTTAAGTGAAAACGTGACTTCATGAAGATGTTTTTGTTCTGCACATCCTACTGCAGGTACATGATCTAATACGGACATATTATTAACACATGTACCCTGTTGGTTTTCGGCTTGTAGTCAAACCACTGGAACCCAGCTCTTACAGATCACGGTATTTGCCTACTGTTTGGAAACTGCTGTGGGACCAGCTTTATGTCTCAGCAATGAAGCATGCTACTACGACCTCACCTCATTAACTTGGTAAGTCACTTTATTACTTTTCCAGCCTTCTAGTTTACGACGCCTCTTTTCCTCTTCCAGCTGAGAAAGAAATTAGGAGAAAAAAAAAAAAAAAGTGGAGGTTTAGATGTGACAAATTGAGACAATCACTTCACACGGTAATTGTTTTGCAAACATAGTGAATGCTGGAAGTTTGGTAATTTAATACAGTGAGCGATAATCCTGCACACTGAGATGGTTAAAGGACAGAACGATGGCGGCATCATGACATGGGTATTAGGGTCTGCAATTCTGCAGTGTTGCAATAATGAATGATTCTTTATGAGCGGTTATAAGTCATGCTTACCTGCGTTAAACACTGCTCTTTATTGTTGCACAAAATCATAAATGCCAACAATTGCTCATATAATCTCTGGACTTTCTCTATATTCTATATATGTGAACCTTCATAAGTTGCATAAAAAGTATAATAAGGCCAATAAGAAATAAGATAAAAACTATGAACTAGAAATTGATAAAATTATCTGCTGTGTGCTCAGAGAATAAGATCAGTTTGGCTATTTGGTGACAAAAGTGGAGTGGGCGCGAGTTAAAGGGATACTATAGGCATCAAAACAGCTTAATGAAGCAGTCTTTATTTATAGGTCAAGCCACTGCCGTTTCACTGCTCAATTCTCTGGCATTTACGAGTTAAACCACTTTTGTTTCTGTTTTTTGTAGTCCTTACCACACCTCTCCTGACTGTGACCGACACAGCCTGCATTCAAAAATTATTTTCAATCAGATGTTAAAAACTTCTAAAAAACACATTAACTTCTGTTCTGGAAGTTGAATTTTAATCACACAAAGTAAGCTCCTGCAGGGTCTTGAAGGCTATTAACACAGCAGAACATTATAAATTCTAAATTAAACAGAATGTGCAATACATTAGATCTCGGAAGTGTTAAGGAAGGCTGTGTAAGTCACATGCAGGGAGGTGTGACTAGGGTGCATAAACAAAGTGATTTAACTCCTAAATGGCAGAGAATTGAGCAGTGAGACTGCAGGGGTCTATACAACAAAACTGCTTCATTAAGCTGAAGGTTGTGCTAGTGCCTATACTGTACTTTTAAATCAGTTTTTCTACTTCAAATGGAACATTTGCTATTCACTGGCAAAAGACCCTACAGACTTTAGACAATCTTTAAGAACTGCTCTGCGGGGATGTTGTGTGAGCTTAATTTGTGACAGTATATTAAATTCACATAAGCAATTATTACAATTGTGTATATATTTTGGAAAGAGCATGGTTTATACAATATAAGTAATTAATTATTTGGATATATATTTCGTTACCACAAACTGGTTACACAAAAGGTATTCATGTGTAATTTGTTTGCATAAAAAGCACCTAAACATTTTATGTAATTTAATCCACATCATCTTGCCAGAGAATAAATCAGTTTTATTAGGAGATAAATGGAAAGTGCAAGCGAGCCAATTAAAACATTTTCATCTGTACACAAACATTTGTACCTTCAACGGCACCATAAATGACACAAAGGTGATAACCTCTGCTACCTCAAAACTGACACTGCCAGTGGTAGCACAATTTTTGGATCTGTTTACCGAAGGGGCACTTCCTGTTTCCTAGAAAAGCTGCACTTATTCACAGCACGTTGTCTGAACTCCAAAGCTAGCTTCCCTGTCTGCACACTCATCTTTAGAGTGTCAATACTGTCCAAACCTCAGTTTGTTGCTATGACTCATGCAGAGATATGATGTATAATCTCTGTGCTCACATTCCCACAGTCCGGCTAGTCCACTGAGGAAAACAAGATGCCAGCATGTGATTGCCAGTATTTGTTTTGGGTAGAAAAGCCAGGATTTGCCCATGCCAACACGATAATTGAATTGAAGTGTGTGGCATTCAGCCAGCATTTTCCTGCGGGTCATCTGATTTTTTTGTTTTTTTGTTTTGTTTTTAATAAACATTGTAGCAACAGAGATGGAAACATGCTTATCAATATCATGCTGTATGTGGTCACTGCTGATCAGGCAATAATAATTGTTATTCCAACTGATATAAAAGATCATGCAACATTGCAAAAATGTCACTCTCTTGCAAAGATCGTTGTCAAAAAAAGTGCAGCATGTTGTAGTGTTTGTGGAGCAGGCAGGAAATAAGCTGTGCAATCAAGACATTTTCTTTCTGATGGATAAGGTTTCAGAGTAGCTCGGGTCACTAAACGCAATTGACTGAGCTTTCTGAAAGACTGATGGGATGATGCAGGTATGAACATCTAATGCTATGACTTGGAGGGTGAATATACTTCTGCAAGCACATTGGATCAGAACAACAGAAATCCTGTCAATACCATAAAAATATTTAACTAATTAAATGAAGAAATTGCTCCCATATCAGAAGCTATGCAACTTGGATCGCCATGATGGGCTGGGGTGGGTTAGCCCAACATGCTGGGAATGGGAACCGTACCCACAGAGTCATTGCAACAACCCTTTTATTCCCATTTATAACTTCAGACCTCTACCTTTAATCCCCAGGCTCACTTAAAATTTCCTTTACAACCATACTTATAATATGGTTTTAATGTACCAGTTGACTATGTTAGCCCTTGTTTTATACCTTAATCAATTTACACAGTGCTTTAGTAAATCCATTCTTTATCAAATGATTATCTTCTACCATGCCACTTGTATTGTATCTTCTCACTATCCATGATTTCAATCACTATCATCCATGATGATAAGTTTCAGGGCTACTAGCCTTGCACAATGTGCCTGAAAGAGATATTTACAATAGCACGAATTGCAAGGAATTTAACATTATAGGACAGCATAGCCAAGCAAAGATGAGAAGAAAAAAAGAGTCAGAAGAAGTAAGCTGTTTTTTAGTTTGGCTATCTGGCCGAAAATGTAAATTCTCTTTGAATTCCAGACAACTCACTGTTCAACTTCACATGGTATTTAGCTAATGCTATACCAAGTGAGAATGCAATAGCTCACAGCTGATGATTTTCCAGCTTTAAATCCTTGCAGTGTATGTTGCTCACAGGAAAGAAGACAAAGTCAGTAACTGCAGTTGCCACTGCAATACTGCCACCAGGTGGACATGGAGTTGACTGCCAACCACTGCATACACAATTGAATACTGTGGAAGTGGCAATTCCTTGTAACCTTACCCCAGTAAAATATATTAACAAAATTTACTGGAGTGAAGGCAGGTAAAAAAAAAAAAAAAATACACTTATCAGTAGCACTGCTGTATTCAGGGCAACATGGTCACCCCATGATATTCTATGCACAAGAATCTACACAAAAATAGTGCTTGCACGCTCGAGTATTCCTTTACTAATGCCATATGATAGCAGGTGTTTGTGAGTGAATTTAATTTACATAGTACTCCCTTACTGTCCCCCTGCATACCTTGCATAGTTTGCCTGAAAGGGATATTCACTATAGGTAAAAATGTAAGCAATTCAAAGTAATTTCCACATTTTAGGCCAAACCAAGTTGAGAAAAAATCTCAGCAGTTTTTTTTCAGTCTGACCTACCATTTGAAATTCTCTTTAGAAGTCTATTAATCCAGCATTTTATGCTATGTAGATACTGCAATTCTACTTCCTGAGACTGTAATAGTTCACAGCTGATACATTTCTGCCTTTAAACCATGTACAAACCCCATTTGAAGTCAGAAACACTGCCATCTGGTTGACATGAATTTGACTGCAGTCTCCGAATACACAATTGCAAACTCAATCTTTAACCATTAAAGAGACACTCAATTGAAATGTTTAACTATTTCACAGATATATCCCCAAAGAAAACAGGCATGTATTTATTCTGCATGCTATCTTTGAGGCTATAGGAATTAAAATCTTGAAAAGATGACAGACCTTTTGTCTGCAACTATGCAAGTCCTCCCCTGTTTCCCCAGCGCAAACCTTCTGTCTGTGCCAAGGAATACACTGCCTCTGTGATGGAGCTGTGCACATTTCCTATAATCCTTAAGCCTACTGAGAAAGGACTCAGACATTGATCGGTCTCCCTGCATTCCTCACTGCCAGTAGTAATCAGCAGTGGGCTCTGCATGCTGTTACATTTATCCAGAGTTGCAGCATGAGAGGAAGGAGCCATTATCTCAGGAGCTGGCTTTAAAATTGTATTCTGACACTTGGGGAAAGGCTTTATCATAAAATAAAAACAAAATGACCATCCCCATATGAAGGGGGAACCCTCCAAATTAAAGACATAACCCTTGCTTAACTGAAAAAATATACAGTCAAATAAAGAAAGGTAGAGTGAACTCCCTAATTAAAGTGTTTTACTAGAAAATACTTTATTGACACAAATACAATTCATAATCAAACAGTACAAAAGTGAGAAAGGTAATATCTCAGGCTAGGCAACACTAGATAGCATCCCTCTTTCAAATAGTCTAATAAGGCAGATATTATGCATTAATGTGTGTTTATACTTTGGTGAATTCATGAAGGGTGACGTCATACACATAGTTCTCATTTTAATTCAGTTGGCATTCAGGCAGTAACCTCTCGAGAGAGCTGGGTAATGCAGGATCTTCACGGAGCTCCAAGGTAAGCCTGGAGCTTTTTGCCACACTGTTTAGTGTGGACCTTTAGGGAGGGGTACAGGTTAGGTCATTGGCGGTGCAGCAGGTGTGACTGCACCAGGGCAAGCAGGCAGGGGAGGGCTGGCAGCCTCAGGCCTGGGGGGGCAAATCCAGTTGAGTGGCCCATTGCACCCCCGAATCAGCTCACCATCCATGCCCACCTTTTCCTGGACTTATAAAGGATATTGATGTTATGCTAATCAGTAGCTCTTTTGCGGCTCTGACTTTCAATGTTGTTAGAGCGCAGGCTGAGAATCTCTGAGCCTAACTCACTAACTGAGCATCGGAACCACAAGGGAGAGGACATGATCTGACTGCACCTACTTCTGGTGCGCACCAATGGACCACCAGGGAATCGTTTAAATTAAATATGCTGGAGTCCCAAACTTGTGAGCTGTGTTGGCCGCCGGGCGCCCCTGTTGTCATGGCGCCCTACGTGACCCCACAGCTTGCCCTGCTGACAGACACATTGTCACTCACTCTCAATAACACACACACACACACACACACACACACACACAAACCCTGACAGACAAACACTCACTGACAGGCAGACACACACATTCACTGAAAGACACTTACTTGACAGAAACACTTGCTGACACACACCAGTGCCATCTTAACAACATTATGGGCCCCCAGGCAAAGCAGTGCACTAGGGCGCTGCCTACACAACTTACAGGAATAAAAAAATTTAATTATAGATACAACAAAGATTATATTTAGAAGTACCTCCAAAAATTCAATGCATACATACAATACATACACACAGACTGCTGAATACACGCATACAGACTGCCGAGTAGACACACACAAAGACAGACTGCCAAGTACACACACACAAAGACAGACTGCCAAGTACACAGTCCGCTGAATACACACACAGACAGACGGCTGAACACACACACACACAGACGGCTGAACACACACACACAGACGGCTGAACACACACACACAGACGGCTGAACACACACACACAGACGGCTGAACACACACACACAGACGGCTGAACACACACACACAGACGGCTGAACACACACACACACACAGACGGGCTGAACAACACACACACACAGACGGCTGAACAAACACACACACACAGACGGTTGAACAAACACACACACACAGACGCTGAACAAACACACACACACAGACGCAGTTGAACAAACACACACACACAGACGGGCTGAACACACACACACACAGACGGCTGAACACACACACACACAGACTGCTGAACACACACACACACAGACCGCTGAACACACACACACACACAGACTGCTGAACACACACACACACAGACTGCTGAACACACACACACACAGACCGCTGAACACACACACACAGACAGACGGCTGAACACACACACACACACACAGACGCTGAACACACACACACAAATGACGGCTGAACACACACACACAGACAGACGGGTTGAACACAGCCACACAGACGGCTGAACACACACACACAGACGGCCGAACTAAAAGGGTATTTTTCATATCATTATCCCCCTTACACCAAACTTTACAGTTGGCATAATGCAGTAAGGCAACATTATCCTGACATTCACCAATCTTAGACTCGCCCATTAGACTGCCAGACTGTAAGAGTAACAGCAAGAGTAATTTGTCACGTCACTAAACACGTTTCCACTGCTCCAGAGTCTAGCTGCGACGTGCTTTACACAACTTTATCTGACGCTTGGCATTGTACCTGGTGATGTGCGGTTTGCATGCAGCAGCTTGGCCACCCACTCAATGAGGTTCCCGCCGCACAGTTATTGTGCTAATATTAATGCCAGTGGAAGTTTGAAACACTTCAGCTACGAAATCAGCAGAGCATTGGCGATTATTACACACCAGGCGCCTCAGCACTCAGCTCTGTGACTTTACATGGTCTTCCGTGGCAGAGTGGCTTCAATAATACCACTTACAGTTGACTGTGGAATATCGAGCAGGAATGACATTTCACAAACTGACTTATTTCAAAGGTGGCATCCTATCACAATACCACACTTGACAAATTCACTGAGCTCTTCAGAAAGATCCATTTTTTTCACAAATGTTTGTAAATGTTGACTGCATGGCTAGGTGCTTGATTTTATACACCTGTGGCAATGGGTCGGATTTAAACACCTGAATTCAATAATTAAGAGGTGTGTCCTGATACTTTAGTCCATATAGTGTATATTAGATTAAACTGAATTTTAAAACCACAGGGATCTGTAGTTACAAGTATATATAAGAGAACCAAAGAAAATTAGGAACAAACACATTGATGCAATAAATATTTAACATTTTTGGATACCGTAATAAAGTGTTAAAGAGTGTTAGCGATTTATTTTTTTCTTTGCAGACTATTAACCTTGATAGCGTTAGTATGTATGAAGAGTACAAACCTCTCCTTTCTGGTTGATGATTGGGACGGCATATTGAAGTTTCACATCATGGAAGAGAGATTCTAGGAAGACATTGGCCACACCGATTAGGCTGTGATTTTCGTGCTCATCGTAGAAAGGGTCTGCTCGCCGGAAATACGACCGGATGACCTGTGAAGCAAGAGCACAAAAGGCCATATGATTTTATGAGAGTCAATTTTTAATTTAAATGGTACCTTGCTTTGAGGGCAGCTTGTTTTCCAACCATTGGAACTTACTGAAATAGCATGGGGAATTGAATGTTGTTTCCCAATCCAGGGATTCAGAATTATGAGCTACGGCTGTAACAGTCACATTAAAATAATCCCTTTAGGTTTACAACAAATCCCTTTTTACTTACCCTGAGCCAAAGAACGTTCCATATTTTACAGTTTAATATTCATTGACATTTATCCTCTATCTAGATAGAGTCTGAGAGAGTGGATTATTTTTTTTTCTTCTTACACTAGTTTAGTTAAAGTTAAATAAATACTATATAAACTATACTTAGAAGGTTATAATAAAACATTAATTTTAGGAATACTGACTTTCAATTCTATCTTCTATTTACAGAGGACAATATCTGTTAATATGACCAAGTGCTCACAGGATTGTCTTCTTCACACGTTTTCCACTCCTGGTAAAGGTCTCGAATGTCAACCAGACGATTCTCCAGTTTTTCTAAAGACCAGATCTGTTTCCCCTTCCCTTTTCTCCTTACTTGGATGGCCGGTTCGCTCAGCACAGCTCCGCGCTGCAAGGACAGAGAGAACACAGCAGAGTCATTAAGAAATACTGTTTTTTTTTGTTTGTTTTTTAAACGATCATACATAAGTATATGAATGTCCGTGTATAAGAAGTACCTGGAACATTCTAAGAGGCCATATCTATAAAGCATCCACCAATATATTAGCCCCCCCACCCCAAAGTACTTTAACGTGTTTTCAATTGTACAAATCCACTTAAGAGAGTTTTTGTTTTTTTAGATCAGATAAATAAACTATACATTTTAGGGTTATGCTGATTTATATTTTTCCCATTTTTTTTCGAGGGTTGGGGATGGAAGAGGCCATACAAACAAATATTCTGTCTTCTGTCTATATTTCAGAGTGTAGAGGAGGGTTAACCTAGCTTATGCACGTGGCCTTTTTCTAATGTTTGATCTTAACAAAACCCAGATTTCATATTTCATTCCTCAAAGAATGGCTGCAAGAACTTCCTTGAAATCTTTACCAACTTGTTCCTTGAATACTCTATTCATCTGTACTGGACCTTGAAACATTCACCAGGTAGATATTGAGCCAAGAACTAGAAGTGGTACGAAACCCCAAGGACACGCTGATATCTGCAAAGGAAGGTTCAAGGCAAATCCCAGCAGTGTCTTTGGAACATTCCTTTGCAATATGTTGGGTGGACACAGGGGCAAGCCCTACTTAAACCTGGGGCGAGGTATTAAGTCAGTATACATTGCTATATATTAAACTCTAAAGGAAAGTTGCCATGATAAAGATCAGAGAACTGGGTCAAAGACACTATAACTACTTCATCTCATTTAAGCGGTTATTGTGTCTGGAGACCCCTGGCAGCGTTCTTCTATTCTATTTTTGTGTTTCAAAGCAAGAAGAATATCCTAATATGGAAGGAGTCTAGCTGATTTAACCAGATACTATTGGGATTTGTCAGACATTTAGGGCAGTGGTTTTCTGGTGTACCCTCAAAGTGTGCTACAAACTCACCGATGTTTGACTGCCGTCATTAGGATTTCATTTTATTTTTATCAGTGCATGCATTAAAACGGGTTCCGATCTAGCAATTTAGCAATTTTGTAGAATCAGCTAGATGAATGTGCTATTCATGTTGTATACATCTCTATTAAAGGAACACGATAATGTTAGGAATATAAACGTGTACTCCTGAGATTATAGGTGTGAAAACACTAGTTAGGCGTTTGGCCCACTTGCCCCTGTGAATAAGCTAGTGTACTTTCCTTTTTTCTGCACCGCTTGGGGTTTAATTGCGACTGGCCCCGCTCACACACCATCTCCTTGGCTGAGATGATCAATTTTTATGATCTCAGTCAATCCAATGCTTTCCCACAGGAAAGCATTAGGAGGTTTTTGTACATGTGCAGCAACCTGGCCTATCACCATCTCCGAATAGAGGTGCATTGAATCAATGTATCTCTGAGGAACGCTCAGCAGCTCCAGGCAGAGCGTGGAGATGCTGAGTGTAGGTACTGCACACTGTGCAGCAATGGGCCAGAAAGTTCTTCTAGTGGCCATTTGAGTGAGTGTCACTAGAGGTGTTACTAGGCAGCAACGTAAACACTGCCTATTCAATGAAAAGGCAATGTTTATAGCCTGTCCCTGCAGGCATTTTAAAGTAGACACCAGAACAACTACATTAAGCTGTAGTTGTTCTGATGACAATAGTGTTTCTTTAAGAATAAAGTAAAATTTATATAAAAACTGCTGATGAAGGTATGAATTGAGCAGGTATGTGTTCTCACTGAGGTTTACTTTGGTACAAAGCAGGTTGGAAAACACCGATTTATAGAGTGCTGACTAGTCCCGGTGTGTGACTTCCAGTGTATGTGTCAGGAGGACATGGACATTACGCACTAAATGATTCATTTATAAACGGTCAATATATTCCGCAATGGTAACACATAGCATACAATATAAAGACTGCTATGCCCACAGTATGCTTTCCTGGAGTTAATAATTGGAAAGTAATTTTTTTGTAGATGAAAACTTTACTTCAGTTGGACAGTTGAGCTAATTATTATTAACAAAACTTCATTTTACAGAAGAAGCCATCTTTGAATGCAGTGTCTGCCGACTCTCAGCACTCCAGGCATACCTTCCTATTGGCATTAAGGCTGGATGCTGGGATCTGTAGTGTGACTTTATATTCTGTCCTCTTATCCATCTCCTCTGCGATGAAATTGGCCTCCCGGACATACAGATTGGCCTTGGCGATCTGTTCCCGCAGTTTTCTCAGGCTCTGATTCAGCATTGCCTCCCTGGTGTGTCATTAAAGATGACAATTTAACAGAATTCTTTGTGATAAACAATAAAACCAACCCACGCCTCGTCCCACCCCCTCCATAAACCAGTAAAATGTTAGAAGAATTTAATCGTGTTTGAGGTGCTGCTGGTACTATAAAATCATTGTGAATAACTAGATTTAAAGGACCAGCCCAGCTGTCCATCATATTTTAAGTATGAATATTCCTGTAAAAACTTAATGTGGAGATTGATCCCATCTTTCAGAGTGCAGTAAAGTATACCGGGTGTAAAGCAATAAACCTACAAAGAGAACCTCTGATGCCTTATTTGACATGGGGACTGTTCCACACTAATGATATCGGTGTTGTGATGACTTGCCTTTCCTCTGTCCATTGCCGGATACGTTGCTGGGCATTGGGAGACCCCCATGAGAACCTGTCCATGCTTCGGTAGTGCTGCTTCTCAGGGGAAAGCCTTCTCCGCAGTTGGTCCAGCTCATGCTCGTACATCAATCTCTGGCGCTCTAAAGCAGAGCGTTTCTCTTCTTCGTGCTGCTGTTCCAGGCTCTGCAGTATGGACTGCATGGGATCTGCACACAAGAAGGCAATAACTAGATCTTCGAATCTGACAGCATTAACAGAGCTAGTTTATCATCAGAAGCACTAATTGTAATATGGCCAAACATTCTAGTTTATGCTCCTAAAATCCAAGAAACAAGAAGAACCGCAAATCTGAAAGCCTAGGTGGTGACGTACTGAGCTTATGTAACTCTTGGAAGAAAGAAAAATTCTGTTCTGAAACCCTGGGTTGGGAGGTGCTGAACTTCAATTCAGGGGGGGAAAAAAAAGTACCTATTTTCTGAAAGCCTAGGAGATGGGTACAAAGCTTTTGAAAGTGGACGTCAACAAGTTCTTCACTAATGAGGGGTCCTGAGTTTCTAAAAAGTTGAGGAGCTAAATATTAAGTCTCCAACTTCAAGGGATAACATATCTCAAAAAATTGGATAATTCAGAAGTTAATGTTAACAGGCTTAGAGTCCTGTTAACGGAGTTTACCAAAACACTTGTGAACAAACATAACTTCATTGCACTTTCCAACAAGCATATAACTCTCTGTACCAATACCTATTCCACTTACCGTTATTTCCCAGAGCTTTCATCATGACCTCCATCTGAGCGTACTCATAGTTGAAGTTGATGTCACTGGAAGCTTCACTGGAGCTATCTCCATCAGCGTCCAGTTGTTCGTAACTACTGCTGTTCCTCATGCTGTTGTCTCGATCCTCGTCCTCTGCCTCGCTCTTCCTCTTCTTTGGTAAACTTATCCTGTACATAGGGATGGGCAGGGGAATGAAAAAGAGTATGTTTAAAATGCTATAATGGCAGGAGGCAATACAAGGGAATATTGAACATACTGGTGGACGGCCTAAACAACCATTCACAAAGACCCAACTGGGCAGAGTGGACACTATGCAGATGACAAACCAAAATGTTCTCATCAGGCGTTAGGCACAGTGAAATCTTACCTATGCAGGTGAACCCCATGGACTCTGTTACCCTTACTAAGTTTCTCACTAAGGTCATTGGGTGTTTAAAGTACAGATCCTTGAGCTACGTGGTAGACAAGTTACAGCAGACTACCTCTGCATCTCAACCAAGAACTTGAAACGTAAAATGTGGGGAACGAAATGCACTTTCTAGAATGCAGGGTTTCTCAACTAGCATGACTGAAAACTATGCCACTGATCTGACACTGTGATGAATTATTGAATAATAAATGATGGGGTGAAGATGGATCCAATGCTCCCTCAATACCCGTCTACAACCAGACCTTCATACATTTTTCAAAAAACAATACCTTTCTACAACATAAACCTGAGAGCAGCTTAATACTTCTTGAAAAAAAAAATAGGTTTTTAATTAGTTGGTATGAAACTTAATGCAAAGCTATTTATGGGAGATGTATTATATCATTTAATGCACCACACTTTATAATAAAAAAAAACCCCCAAAAAACCCACCTTTTGTTGGCAATTGAGAACAAGCAATAGAAAGTGTGCATTATTTTTTTTCCACACTATGTTTTACATACTTAGGAACAATGATAATAAAAGTGCCCAAACCCACAGAAGTAAATATTTTGCAAAAGCAGACACTTTGGAGTGATTAACTAGAAAGTTGTTGCAGGACTACAACTCCAGTGATGCTTTGACAGCGTTCCAGAGCATCATGGGTGTAGTTGTCCAACAGTTGGGGATCTAAATTTCGGGCACTCCTGATTTGGACACATGCAGCACTATAATGACAGCAGGAAACACACACATTTTCTCATTCAGGTATTGCAATATGACTGCGCCCATCACTGATCAGTCAGCCAGGGGCCATTAAACCTGTCCTCAGTTAAAAGGCAGACCTTCACACTATTACAGTTTGTTTTGTCAAAATTAGCTGATAGAACCAAGCTATTAAATTGCGATCACAAACAAAAAACAGATTTTATGTACAATGCCACATACATGAACCTGTTTACGGGGATGACTATATTATACATAGTAAAAGAAATGGTTATGTTTTTTACTAGTCTCAAAACAGCACATGGAGAGACAAAATAGTATAAGAACAGCCAGGTGCAAACCATATAAACACTCCCTCAAGTGCTTTAAATATTCAAATGTATATAAAATATAGAATGCACACTATAACAATCTCAAAAAAAACTTAGCTTTATTATGTACAAAAAAGTACCAGAGTGAAAACATATAAGAAAAAATAAACAAAGTGACAGAAGCAAGGGCAAATACAATACAATACAATAATAAACCACCACAAAAATTCTTACAAGCCTCAAGACAGAAACACGAGTCACCAAACCCCCCCCCCAACGTTTCTGTCTTGAGGCTTGTAAGAATTTTTGTGGTCATTTATTATTATTTTTATGTGTTTGCCCTTGCTTCTGTCACTTTGCTTATTTTTTCTTATATGTTTTCACTGTGGTACTTTTTTGTACATAATAAAGCTAAGTTTTTTTGAGATTGTTATAGTGTGCATTCTATATACATATGTTTTTTACTAGTAACATTTCTAGAGTGAGTTCCATGTATCCGTGCAATATACATTTTTCCCATAACTAACTCCACTGTTTAGAAGCATATTTTCTACAAGGAGAATGTTGAGATGTAAGGAGATTTGGTACCTGAAGAAGTGATTATTGCCCCACAGTATTCGGTCTCCGTGATGAAGCTGTGTGGGATTGGTAATAGTGGAGCCATTTACAAATGTTCTGCAGAAAAGAATGCAAAATTATTAAAATAAACAAAACTAAATCTTTGTAAAAAACAATAAAACAGATTTACAAAAACAAAAAATAATATACTATAAAGACATACATTGAAACAGATACACACACTGGTGGACATCCCAATATTAAACTGCAGATGCACAGATACCACTAAGGATCTGGGATACAATGTTTTCCCCAGGATTCTGACAGACTCATGCTTACAGGTCACTATAAAGAGATTTAGAACAAAGTGGAACCACTACAGGAAATAACCAAGGAACTGTGTGTCCAAATTGTAAATATCGAAAACTGAAACAAAATCCAACTCCTCTGTCCCTAAAACAATATTTTGAAGTTCATAATTTTTTTTAAATTAGTCTCTGAATAAGATCGGGACAGTGTAACGGTCTGTCACAGCCTGTCCAGTTCTGATATTAGTCTTAGCACCATTTAAAGTTCTATTTACATTACATTGCTCCTGTCCTTATTAAAAGATCCCTGTCCCGTGCATGGCGATGGAGGAAGCATGAACAGGCTTGTTACAGGTTCACATTAAAGAAAGCATGCGGGGAATGCGCCACATTAACAAATCTGCATCTGTCATTAAATGCAGAAAGATGCACAGAAGGAAGCAAATTGATTTCCTGGATGGCAAACCAGTGGTAACAGCCTTTGAATGAAAGACTATTTCTCTGTGCTAATGGCATTGATTGGGTTCATTTTGTGCATATAACCTGGATATAACCCTAAAGACAATAATTTGCCTCTTGGGTACGTAGGGGTTTAATTCAAATCAATTTATATTCAAAATGATTGATAAGAAATGAGAAAGCAGGCACACTTTATAGCCTTTTATTTCTGGCTAAAAGATTTTCCCAAATAGAACAGAGCCTACTGGGCATTTCTGCTTACCTGCTTACCCCATCCGAGAAATCGCTCCCACTGGCTCTCAGCTGAAAGTTCTAGGGCACTAATGACAGCAATCTGTAAACTTTCTCCCAGGTAATGAGGATTTAGTTCTCTAAAATCTCCAATTTCACCTGGTTTCAAACTTCCCCTCTGGGCACACTGACAGAGGAATCTGGGACTTCTAGTGAGGGAGCCTGAGCACCACCTAGTGGGCAAAAGTGGTCTACAAACCAACAGTAGATCAAATCAGGAGAAGATCAGACGCAATCCACACTCTGCCTGATCTGAATCCAGAAACCAAATTGGCACATTCACCATGGTTTATGATATATTACAAGCCTTCACCACCAACCTAAAAAATCTGCAGAGGCTCAGCTCACTTAGTAAATAGCCAGTATCATAATTAGCAGGTCTGGAATAAAGCAGATGCCATTTTGGTCCTGGGGAATGCATTTCTAAATGTAGACAAGGATGCACAACAGAACTGAAAACAGCATTCAAAGCAGCAAACCAAAATTATTACACAGAAATGAATATATTATTCATTGTATAAATAATTACCGAGTACATTGGATAGGAGGGTGCCATGCAAATAATTGTTATATTTGCAAACATTAAACCCCACTTTTAGGACTTTTTTGCAATAAAATAATGAACATGGCATTAGAACAGAGATCCACAAGTAGGTCAGAGACTTGTTCTGCAATTGTAATAAAATAGAATATATGAATCCCTCAAACAAAGACTCCAAACACCTAAAGCACTTCAGTTTGATGTTCCTCCTGGAGTGGGTGTGCTTAGCATAAGTAAATTTTTTTGGGGAAAAAAAAATATATTTTTTTTCATCCTGTAGAGTGAGACAACTGTATCATTCTAAGATAACGTTTTTGAATGAGACACGGGGCTCTAAGTAACGCATGGCCCTTTGAGCACCAATCATCCCAAACTGGTTTGTAAACACCCCATGGCAGTATGGAACGGCCTGCTTAATTAGCATTTGCCATTTTTATACAGCCCTGCTACAATTTCACTGGCAACTGCATTATCTTGTGAGTGCGCACACTGTAACGTAAGGCAGGGGCACACGTGGCCTTCCAACATAACCAACACTCTCCGCAAACAGGACAGTTAAAGTTTGGTAGCTGCTAATGAAGATTTATTACTGTTCTGGGAAGGAATGAAAAAAAAAAAAAAAAATACAAAACGGTTATAAAATCTAATTTTGTACAAAGTTCTCTCATTGCACTAACTATGTGGAAGTAAATACAAATTATTGAGCAGATAGTTATATTGGGTATGAGCCGATACAAAACTACAAGTGGATTAAAAAGATCTCAAAAGCAGATAAAGAACACAAATTGACAAAATAACGGTCTTTTAATTAAAAGTCGCCTTAATGGACAGATTTTTAACTTTTACTAATTTTTTTGGCAATATGCCTTTTATCACAAATACCTAGAGACCCACACGAGATCGCTTTCAAACATTTAATCAATAATATGCTTCCACCAAATCACCATTAGCATGTGTAGATGGATCATGCTTCCATTTACATCAAGTCTGCTTTCTTCTAAGATACCCACTGCATCAATCTGTGACAGCTGTGCACGCACACGTCACAAGCATGGCCCCCCACAATTTATATTATGCATTATATTTGGGGGGATTTGGTTGCGCAGGCAGCTCTATCTTCTGCAATTCCGGGATTTGGATGCTGTTATTATACAGGTAAATATTTAAAGGTACACTAAGCACCCGCCGCAGCTTTTAGTATTTGTTATAGTGGTCTAGCATCTTAAGTGGTCTGAAGAAGAAAAAAAAAAAAAACAAATACTGGTAACCTAGCTACTTTTACACAGAATGTGGAACTTCTCTTCTGCATTATCTATAGACATTTAATCTTGGATGGCAATGACAGATATTAACTCTGTGGCAGAGGCCCATAATGAGTCGACAAAACTAATGTGTCATAACGAGTGTCATACTTGTCATGATACTGCCCCTTTAATCTTTAAAGATTTGTGGGTCCAGATGTGGTAGGTCATTTGATTTTTGATATATACACTAATTACCTGGTGTTTTTCATTGGTGTGAGTACAACCTGCCCGTCCTGGGAGATGTCAATGATTCCGTGTTCAGGCAGAATACCCATTCCACATAACTGGATGTCCTGGGAATCAGCCGACCCGATTAACGTGTGATCCTGCAAGAGATCCAGACATAAAACATGAGAACAATACCCATCACCAGCATAAATAAAGCGACTTTTCACGAATCCTCTGGATAGGGCACAGTTCTGGGTATCCTTTCTGGAATAAAGATCTAGACATACAGTCAAACGGTAAAATAATAACCAATCGATAAGCAAAACAATACTAGCATTGGATGTGCATTAGAAACTGCGGGATTGCATAGAATTCTACTCCCCGCTAACGCAGTGTGCACTGCATTACGTTATAGCTTCAGATACTGCAGTGATAGCACCTAGCTCTGGATTACATTATAACCTCAGAAACTGCCACATGACAGCACTGCATCTAAACAACTGCTCAGCCATCATATAAGGAGAAGATATTGCACAGTGATGTCATTTAGCACTGCGTTATGACAATGTAGTAAATTAGATTCTCTGAGACTGACAGAGGTTAGCACTGCATTAGACACCTCTTCACTGCACACATACAGTTAGCACTGCATTACAGTAGATCATCCCTGTACAGACAGTTAGCACTGCATAACAGTAGATCCTCTCTGCACAGACTGTTAGCACTTCATTACAGTAGATCCTCGCTGCACACTATTACAGTAGATCCTCACTGCACACAGACAGCTAGCACTGCATTACAGTAGATCCTCGCTGCACACTATTACAGTAGATCCTCACTGCACACTATTACAGTAGATCCTCACTGCACAGACTGTTAGCACTGCACACAGACAGCTAGCACTGCATTACAGTAGATCCTCACTGCACAGACTGTTAGCACTGCACACAGACAGCTAGCACTGCATTACAGTAGATCCTCACTGCACATTATTACAGTAGATCCTCACTGCACAGACTGTTAGCACTGCATTATAACAGATCATCACTGCACACAGACAGTTAGCACTGCATGCAGTAGATCCTCATTGCACACAGACAGTTAGCACTGCATTAAGTACACCCTGCATTTTAACAGATCCAGTCTGACTGACCTTGTACAGTACATTAGGGGAATGCAGAGAAAGATTGAGATTCTGATCCAAGGCAGGCGGGTCCAATCATGGAGAGACTATTACTGGCATCACTCCACAGAGCCCACACACAGCCCTCCATTATTCCCACAAGTCATCAGATAAGAAAGGAGCTGTCTGTTAGGCTGGGATAGGATTTCCACTCTGCATGAGGGTTTGATTACTAAGCAAAAGGAAAACAACAGGCTCTCACACTCCAAGGCAGCACCCTCATTAACGTGCCCCTGACACAGCGGAAACCGGACCAGGACTCATCATAAAGGACAAAACACAGAAATCACCTAGCTCTAAATTAGAGGCATGGAATAATATACCTGCCGAAACAGAGGTGAATCAGAATAAGAACAACTTAAATTTGTTATAGAACAGACGGGAACGTTTCAAACCCAGCATTCTATACCAAATACTGGATTTAATGATTCCAGGACCAAGAGCTGTGTAACTGTGTGGCAATACAAGAATCTAAACACACAGAATGATTATATAAACAACACAAAGCAGAGCCGAGGCCCAAACGCGTTCACAGAGACACACAGGCTGACTGGATGGAGGAAAGAGGAAATGATTTATGGCAGCCGTGACATTTTATATGTAAAGCAGAGTTACGAAAAATCACACGCTACCTCCTCTATCGCCCAAACATTAAAAATGGCATATATGTTCTCACACCACACCCTGTGCAAAATCTAAATATATATATATTTACACAAACACATACAGTATCTCAGAAAAGTAAGTACACCCCTCACATTTTTGTAAATATTGTAGTATATCTTTTCATGTGACAACACTGAAGAAATGACACTCTGCTACAATGTAAAGTAGTAAGTGTACAGCCTGTATAACAGTGTAAATTTGCTGTCCCCTCAAAATAACAACACACAGCCATTAATGTCTAAACCGTTGGCAACAAAAGTGAGTACACCCCTGAGTGGAAATGTCCAAACTGGGTCCGAATAGTAATTTTCCCTGCCCAGTGTTATGTGACTCGTTAGTGTTACAAGGTCTCAGGTGTGAATGGGGAGCAGGTGTGTTAAGTTTGGTGTTATCGCTCTCACACTCTCTCATATTGGTCACTGGAAGTTCAACATGGCACCTCATGGCAAAGAACTCTCTGAGGATCTGAAAAAAAGAATTGTTGCTCTACATAAAGATGGATTAGGCTATAAGAAGATTGTCAAGACCCTGAAACTGAGCTGCAGCATGGTGGACAAGACCATACAGTGGTTTCACAGGACAGGTTCCACTCAGAACAGGACTTGCCATGGTCCACCAAAGAAGTTGAGTGCACGTGCTCAGCGTCATATCTTTGAAAAATAGACATATGATTGCTGCAGAGGTTGAAGGGGTGGGTCCGCCTGCCTGTGCTCAGACCATACGCCGCACACTGCATCAAATTGGTCTGCATGGTTGTAGTCTCAGAAGGAAGCCTCTTCTAAAGAAGATGCACAAGAAAGCCCACAAACAGATTGCTGAAGACAAGCAGACTCAAGACATGGATTACTGGAACCATGTCCTGTGGTCCGATGAGACCAAAATAAACTCATTTGGCTCAGATGGTGTCAAGCGTGTGTGGCGGCAACTAGGTGAGGAGTACAAAGACAAGTGTATCTTGCTTACAGTCAAACATGGTGGTGGGAGTGTAATGGCCTGGGCCTGCATGAGTGCTGCCAGCACTGGGGAGCTACAGTTCATGGAGGGAACCATGAATGCCAACATGTACTGTGACATACTAAAGCAGAGCAGGATACCCCTCGCTTTGGAGACTCGGCCGCAGGGCAGTATTCCAACATGATAAAGACCCCAAACACACCAAGACGAAAACTACCTTGCTAAAGAAGCTGAAGGTAAAGGTGATGAACTGGCCAAGCATGTCTCCAGACCTAAACCCTATTAAGCATCTGTGGGGCATCCTCAAACGGAAGGTGGGGGAGATCAAGGTCTCTAACATCCACCAGTTCCGTGATGTCATCATGGAGGAGTGGAAGAGGACTCCAGTGACAACCTGTGAAGCTCTGGTGAACTCCATGCCCATGAGGGTTAAGGCAGTGCTGGAAAATAATGGTGGCCACACAAAATATTGACACTTTGGGCCAAATTTGGACATTTCCACTTAAAGGTGTACTCACTTTTGTTGCCAATGGTTTAGACAGTAATGGCTGTGTGTGGAGTTCTTTTGAGGGGACAGCAAATGCACACTGTTATACAGGCTGTACACTTACTACTTTACATTGTAGCAGAGGGTCATTTCTTTAGTGTTGTCATATGAAAAGATAAAACATATTTACAAAAATGTGAGGGGTGTATTCACTTTTGTGAATATATATATATATATATATATATAACAAAGCAAATGGCTTTACAATGTAGACAAAGTAGAGATACAGACAATCCTAAAAGAACAGAAAATGGCACATAATGGTACAATACTGTAAATAAACTAAAACTGGTTTGAAGTGGAGTAATGCATTTACAAACAATGTATAAAAGAAAGCCTTTATACAAACACATATATATATATACACACATATACATACATACATACACACACTCCCTTAGATTAAAGGGACATTATAGTCACAAGAACAACTACAGCTTAATATAATTGTTATGGTATTTATGGTATTTCAGAGAAAATGCAGCGTTTACATTACTGCCTTAGGATACACTAAAAGGTGCTTCCTGGGTCAGTGCCGCACAATGTGCAGCACTGTTTTTCAGAGTCTTTAAGCTCTGCATGGAGCTATTGAATGCTCCCCATAGACATGCACCAATTCAATGCATCTCTAAGAGGAGATGCTGATTAATGCAGCACATGCGCATTAGATTAGCAGAGATCATCCTCCAATGCGGAGATCATCAAGTTTGATGGTTTCAGCCAAAGGGGCACCAGAAAAAGGTGATTCATCCAACCTTTTTAACCGGGGGTAAAGGTATCCTTTACATTTGTATTCCTGACACTACAGTGTTCTATAATTCCATCTCTCTTCAAATCCAAGAATGGGCCACAAAGAGACAACCGGCAATAGAATCAGACACAGTACAATATTGCAGGACAATCAATCAATAATATATTTATACATTTATTGCTTTATTAAAACAATCAAGCATGTAATACAAGTCACCGAAGACCATCTGGTCCAGATAACAATATCATCGCCAAAGCAAAATAAATATCAAAATAATTAAATTGGAAATATAGATTTTAGAGTTTCTTATGGTAGCTTTGCAACATGGGTGTTAACCCCTTCACTGCCAAACACGTTTTAAAAAATAAAATAAAAACAATTAGAATAGCATGTTTTTTTTTGTTTGTTTTTTTAAAACAAGGTGTGCATAGGTACACTGATCCAACATTAAAACCACCTGCCCAATATCATTTACATCCAACTTGTGCGGCCAAAACAGCTTTGATGCATCGACGCATGAACTCCACAAGACCCCTTAAAGTATCCCGTGGTATCTGGCACAGCTAGACATTAGCAGCAGATCCTTTAAGTCCTGCAAGTTGTGAGGAGGGACCTCCATGGATTGGACATGTTGTTCCAGCACATCCCACAGATTCTCAATCGGACTGAGATCTGGGGAATTTGAAGACCAAGGCAACACCATGAACTCGTCATGTTCCTCAAACTATTCCTTAACAATTTTTGTTAGATAGGTGGTATGTGTGTAACATCTACATAAATGCCAGGACCCAAGGTTTCCCATTGCCCGGAGCATAACACTGCCTCCACCGGCCTGCCTTCTTCCCATAGTGCATCCTGCTGCCATCTCTTTCCCAGGTCAACGACACACGTGCAATGGGCCATCCACCTGATCTAAAAGAAAACAGGATTCATCAGACCAGGCAAACTTCTTTCACTGCTCCATGGTCCTGTTCTGACATTCTCGTCCCCATTGAAGGCCCTTTCGATAGTGGACAAGGATCATCAGCACTCTGACCTGACAGTTGCTACGCAGTTTCTTACACAGCAAACTGCAATGTGTATGGGACTGCGTAGGTGTTTTGACACATTTCAGTCATGGACAGAATTAGGTTTTTCAGCATTTGAGCTACAGTAGCTCTTCTGTGTGATCGGAACAAAAAGGCCAGGCTTTGCCCCCCACATGCATCATCTTGGGTGCCCATGACCCAGACACCAGTTCACCAGTTGTCCTTCCATGCACCACTTTTGATAGGTACTAACTACTGCATAGCAGGAACACTCCGCAAGACTTGCTGTTTTGGTAATGCTCTGACCTGGTCATTTAGCCATTAATATTTGGTCCTTGTCAAAGTCACTCATATTTTCACTTGCCCATTTTTCCTACTTCCAACACACGAAATTCAAGAACTGACTGTTTACTGCTGCATAATATATCCCACCCATTGACAGGTGACATTGTAACAATAGAATTAAGGTTATTCACTTCACCTGTCGGTTTTAATATTGTGGCTGATCAGTGTAAATATATAATAAAACGGCAATTTATATATAGATTGCTTTTACGGCAAATTTAAATTAATTTTTGCATTTTCATACATACGTATATTGAAAGCTTAAAGGACCACTATGGGCACCCAGACCACTTCAGCTCAATCCATCTAGGGTTAACCCTGCAGCTGTAAACAGAGTTTAAACTATTAACAGCTGTGCGATCATTGCTCATTTGTTCTGTGCTACCTTCCTGCAAACTACCTGTAATTTTGTTCTGCTTCCCTGGATTATTTGACCTCTGGCTTGCCCCTCCACTTCTGAACCTTGCTGCCCGGATATTTGACCTTGAACTGTCTGACCTTGTCTTTGCATTGCACTATCTGGGTAGGTTTGCCTTGAACTTCCTTTTAGAATTTTTTTCTACCTCTGCCAATACAGCCTTTTGGGTTTTTATACTACAACCTGACACTTGCAGACACTAAATGAGTGACTAGAGGCTCTTCGCACATAAATTTGTTCCTCTACATAGTTGCAATCATTCGTAGAAAACACATGAGGGTGAGGGAGGCTGTATGGACTAAATGAACATAACATTAAAAATGTTTGTACTGGAAGGGAAGTGGTTAATTCCCTGGATAACTACTATCTAGACTAGACTAAAGCACCCAAATGCTATTAACATATTTCTGGTCTTCAGTGGCAAATGGCAAACTGGGCAATATTCAGCCATATTGAAGCGATACGGGCTTGCAGAGTTTGGAATTTGAAAAGTCACAGTAACACAGATTCTAGGATTCGATTTAGTTCCGTAAGCCCAGGAGACAGGAACATGCCAGTTAGCAGTTACTCTTTCTGCAGCTCACCTTTAGGTAATAAACCAGAAGTTCATTGAGTGCTGGATCTGCATTTAAATTAACCAGAAAGCATTTATTATCTCCGACTTTGATCCCTGAAGACTGAAGAGAAATTCCAAGGCTTTCCAACTGCTTCTGCCGCTCCTGGGAAAAAAATGTGATCAATATAAAATTTAGCAACCTAAATACAAGAATAATACAAAGTTTAAATAGCATTTCTAACACTATATACTAAAGGTAACAAAGCTTCCTCTGAAGACCAAAGTCCCCAACCATGTCTCTGTGCCCCAACCACTTTTCCAGCAAAACATTTAGGGTGCCTCAAATGGAAGCAGTAATAAAATGCACAATAAAGAATGGATTAGACCACAGGAAGGTATTTTAAGACACAGGCAGAAAACAATCTGGTCTTGCTATACATAGCTTCCTCTCTGAAATACTATCATGCTGATGGCTATTTAACCTCGTTATTGCCAAGTTAGCTGCCCACAGATAACACCCACAATCTGATTTTTTATTTTTTATTTTTTTTGTTTGTTCTGCAAAGCGAAGTTTAAATATTTTCCATATCCGTATGCATGTACAAAATATTATTCATCCAATCTCAAAATGTGTTTTTTGATCCTACTTTAACAGCCCATAAAAAAAGAAACAGAGGAGTTGCAGAATAATAGGGTTAAAGACCAAAACACAATATTACATTATTTTTATTTGCAAGGTATTGAAATGGTGAGAATCAGGATTACAGTGAGATGGGGTAACAATATTCTAACAAATCTCTGTGTAATGCCTTGTGCATCTAGCCAGGCTCTCCACAAGAACATTGTCTCTTTGCACATTAGAAAGTATGAAATGGGTTCAATATTGGATAACAAAGAACAACTCCCATAATGCTCTGCCAAATGTCGAGTTGTAGTGCAAGTTGCTCAGGGGTTACCTTGTGGCTAGTACTGCTTTAGCAGAAAGGAATCTCATAAAGGTAAAACACAGACTATTTTAAATTACATGCAGGCTTTGTCCTATACTTCTCATGCTTGATAAAAGTCACAAGAAACCCTGCAATAGATCTGTATCTTCCAAACCCAATGAAAAGATGTGCAAGTCGGAATGTGATATTCTGGAACTCTTCCTCTACGTTTCTATTTTAGCAACAGATTCCCCTTTGACATGAACTTGACATGCAAATTCTGTGCAATATTTAACCAGCAGGTGGTGCTGTAAGAATATCTGGCTTTTTTGGACACCATAATGGGAATAGAACTGGTCATTTCTTAGATTTGGTCTCATTATGGAAATAAATCATATTATGACTGTGAAGGCCTATCCATGGCTTGGCCGATCAGATAACATTATCACCTGGATTGTGACATACCCCACTAGAGAGATATCAGCTTCATGTCACTGACATGGGCCTAAAAAGGCTGAAACGATTGCCTGAGGCGATCGTAATCGCACGTACAGGTAGGACTTGACCGCAGTTCAGTTTTGTTTTCTACTACATATCGCATGCCATGTTTACAGGATAGAAGCTTAAAGTACGGAGGGGAGGGTGGGGGGGTGTCAATCAGTATAATAAATGGTACTGTAAGGATTAACACCAAGAGGTTTTACTTTAAATGAAGGATTAAATGTGCCAAATGGAAGCAGCAGACACAAGCATTAAAGGATAATCTGTCCAGATCCGGCGCTTTCTTCCCCGTGTCGCCGTTATTTGACTTGCGTGAATTATTTATTAAATGTATAGTGAGAGTGTTAAAGCTGCCACGTTCTGAGTGGTTTAAATGGCATCGCAGCTGCTCAGCCTTTAGCGACAGAATGGAAACTAATCAGCTGAAAGGAGAATTTACTTTCCGTCCCATAATGAGATGTTGGGTAAAAGCTCCCGGATCAGCGTGTTTGTGGCGCCCAGCTTTCTTTCTACCAGTGAAGAGGTCCTTATCTTCTGTACTTCAAACCGCGGAGACAGGAGGAAAAAAGGCAGAACCAGCAACATAGCAGACTCTTTTCTCCTTCTAATTAGACAGAAATAGGAGCCGGCCAGGATGAGATTGCCTTTAACTAGATGATTGCAATATGCCAGAGGTAGGAAACCTTCAGCACTGTATCGCCCTTAATGCTGGCAAAGCATCATGGGAGATTTAGTCCACATTATCCGGAGTGGCAGAGGTTGCCTACTCCTCATCTGTGCTAAGAGGCGTTTTCTGTACATTAAATGTTATTGATAAAGTATCATATTTCAAGGGGTTGTAAAACAAGGGGTAAATGACTGGATGCCATTAATTTTATGGAAACACATTTATTATAGATTATATACAAACACACAGTGCATCGTGATCACTGTATCTGCAAATTCTGTGTTCCAATATTAAAATGCAAATGTAGTAGTTTTAATAATAATGCTTCAATGCGTTTTACATGCAGAAAAATTGTGCTCTGTGAAAAAGCACAGAACTATCTTAAGATGGAAAAAAAATACAAATATTAAATCTGAAACAATTGCCAAAAATGGTTTGTGCTGTATATAGAATTACTAGGAAACGCTCTGAGTTTGTCTTTTTTTTTTTCATAAAACATCTAAAATTAAATACGCTCTGCCTGCAGATTTACAGGAAACAGGTCAGCGAAATTTCACACCGGAGAAAACTCCACGCTCGGATAAACATGAAAATGAGTGAGGCTCAAAAAAAAAACAACAACAACAAAAAAACGCTGAAGTAAAATCTCTCCAATCACAAACACCTGGGGGTTTATCCAGTAAACGGAAAAATGAATTGTAAAATTCTGACTTTACTATAATGAAGTGGAAGGATTTCCCCAAATCTGTGTGCCTTGCCTACATACAGCTGTTTTCAATTTATTACAATTTGGTATTTCATGAACAAACTTCTTAATAGTAAATATCACCAGAGACACGTTTACAAACCTGAGCAACCTCTTCTGTCTTCCTCAGCTTCTCTTCCCATGTAACCGTCATTTCTTGGATCAGTTTCTCGGATTCCTGCAACCGTTCCTTGAGCTCAGGAGCCTTCATAGACTGCAAAAGATCACAAACATGAACATGAACATACATTACTAACCAGTAATGTGACGGATTTCATCCAGAATCTCCAGGTTTGACACGGAATGCAGAGTACTGCCTGTTGAACCTGGAGACTCTGGGTGAAATTAGACAAGTTCACTCCACGCTACATTGTAAGCAAAACTAACCACCAATTTTAGAGAATATCATCCCCTTGTACTCCTTGTTGAGTAGAAATACTACATGTTGCACAGATCTGCCTACATTGCAAACAACAAGGATTTAACATGTGGTGAGCTTATGTCATGCAAAGACTAAATTAATGGCATTATGTTAAATACAACATTGGTGCATGTCATTTTAGTAGTGAACTCTGGGAAAGAGAATTACACACACACATATAGATAAATAATATTAAATAAAGAAAACCAACATGGGTGAATATCCCAGCTCAAAATATATTTTTTTATATATATATATATATATATATATATATATATATATATATATATATATATATATATATATATATATATATATATATATATATATTTATTTATATATATATATTTATATTTCAAGTCCGCTATGTCTTTAGCTCAGATATTTTGGCCTTCACTTTGGATTGACAATTCATACTTAAGTGAATAACCCATCGGTTTCCGGAGATACATTCCCCATAGGATCCCACAAGGAAGAAAGAACATAAATAAAGAAAAGAGGCAATGGAGGAGTTGAATCATTAAGATACAAAGAGCACAAAGCAAAGCAAAACTGAAAAAATAAATACATGACATGATCAATTTAATTTATAAATCAGGGCATATATAAAACACAAAACATGACGACTCATTACAGATGCATTTCAAACCAAGCCCCAACATCCTGGCTCCGTCCAATTACCTCTGCTTGTGTCAGCTGATCCCTTAGTTTCTCCACCTCCTCGCGCAGTTCCCGGATAATACGAGCATTGGGGTCCTCGTTAACGATGGCATGATTGACTATGTTCTTAGCTCGATCGGCGTATCTAAGTGTGGACAGAGTCTCGTCATAGTTATCAGCAGCAGGGCTGACCGTGGCCACCATAGCAGTTTTACTGTTTCCCCCAAGACTGTCCTAAGAGAAATTTAAAAAATAAATAAAAAATCTGGGTATATGCTGGCTTCAGTTATCAACTGCAATTTCCTGTATTCAGAACCACAAGAAATCACAGGGAAAGAACACAGGAGGACATCACTGTCACATAAAAGGAATGTTAGGTTTGGTGACGGGTGGTGTGTGTACATTTAAGTTGCAGGGTCGGGAATTTACTGACAACAACCTCAGTGAGATTTTACCAACTTGGCTGGGTTGCATGTTTTTCCGAACAGGGAATGCTTTCTGTCGTATTCTAGAACAGGTGATACATTAGATGTGAGATGTTGGTCTGTCTACTGACAACCATATGATTCTATCTTTTCATTTTGAAACACAAAGAGCAAAAATGTCAGACACACCTGAAGCTACTCGCATGTCATTCAATAACTGGACATGAAATCGGACTGGAATAGGTCTGTAGAAAACTCTAAGCCATTAAACTTACTTTTAGCAGCCAGGTCAGGACAGAGTCCCGATACGGGACAAATTTGTTTTTATTCTTGCCGGCACCTTGGTCTGCCAGGGCAGAGATGACAAGGCCCAGGGTAGTGAGGGACCTGAAATCAATAAAATAATACATGTAACGGAGTAAAAACTACAGCAAAAAATCTATTAATAATCTATTAATAAGATTTTAAAAACATCACAAAGCATACAGAAAGTTTATCAAAAGTTAAAATGACTGGTACGTAATTTCTAAAGACATATCGAGTCTCTACTTCAACAATCTTTGCCCATGAAAAAAGCAAGGTTCAAAAATGTATCAACTAATCAGAAAGTGGTGCTCAGGTGCATGATGGGAGAACTATTTTAAACCCAACACAAGTAATAATGTGATCAGTACGATTTTAACATTTGCTGCAGCAAATATTAAACAGTCTTCCTATGCCTTGTTATACAAGTAAACAGTGTGTTGGTGTCTCAAAAGCGAGATGCTGGATATTGGCACAAAAGGGAAACAAAATTATTTCCTAGATGCAGATATCTTAGAGGGAAAAAACAAGGTCTAAAAAAAGATTAGATGCAAACATGTGAGCTGTTATGTAATTCGATAATTAATAAAGACATGAGATAAGGGTTTTGTGCTTTCTCAGATTAATATAAACATTGATAAAGAACCTACGACGGGAGTGTTTTATTCAAAGGGAGTCACAGGTTTACACGGTATAACCCTAAACAGAGAGGGTGCTTGGGGTTTACATGGTAACCCACTAATTAAAGAAAACAGAAATAGGTGGGCACCAAAGAGGATTCCAGATCTTACTTGTTGATGTTGCTTCCTTCTTTTAGCCGTTCACCAGCTGCCCCAGTCTTGGTTGCTCTTTCACTCCCGGCTAAATCTACCAGACTTAATTTACTCACTTTTTCACCCGATGTCTGGGGGAAGAAGTAATACATGATTAACATCTCAACATTCTAAGAAGAGATATCAAAAGGTCAAAGCATGAAGCACTTCGTACCACTGTCAATGTTACAAATATATTCTGCTGGTCTGCACAGCACTGCTCTACATGTCCCGATAAATATCGCCAGGCTCAAAAAGATTTAATGAAAAAAAAAAACAAAAAAAAAAAACAACCAAAACAAAGGGTTATGTATAACCTTTTTTTTTTTAATTTTCATGTACGAAAAATAAAAACTTAATGTACATATGTAAAAAATGAAAGAAATCAATATATACACAAACAAATATATATACACACACACATTAAATATAAAAAAATATATATATATATTTTTTTTTTTTTTTTAAAAGAAGCCATATAGCTAAGCAAACAGGAACAAGCCACTGAAAAGATTGTGAATTACATTATAGTTTTGGACAAAGCTTTAAAAAAGAAAAAAAAAAAGTAAACCATGGAAACCAATAGAATGTTTGTGTGAATATATTTATCTTTTCTCCACAAAGTTTTTATCCGGGAGTGAATTCCCACCATAGATACTACAGAGGGCAAACACTAATCAGAACAAACCTTGTACGACAACATGGCATCGTAAACGGACAGACAAACATGCTCTGAAGCTCAGAATTCCTTGAAATATTTCTTTACAATACAAGATACACATAGAACACCTTTTCCCGACCAATTAGATGCACCCTGGTATAGTGCTTCTGCAACATAATGACGAACCTTTTTAAAAATAAATCGTGTTCCACTGGTGACATGACGTGGGAAGAGCACCAGAAAAGAAGGCTTGTTTGGCTAGAGAGTTGAGCAGATATTTGGGATTGCTAGCCAGGAATTGGCCACTCAAACCCTTGACACCCTGGGAAGTAAGCAGCACAGCTCTCATAGTAAGTAATAGAATCCATAAAATAAAGACCCCATGCAAGTTGCATGCAAGTCGCTGTTTACTTACTCTTTTTCATGAATGGAACTACTTGCAGCTGGCTGTGTCACATGCTGGACGGCATTTATTAGTACGGCAACAACGGCTCTTCACATGCCACGTGGCACAGCAGCTCAAGGTTTAATAGTATTTGGACATTGGAGGTGGAAAGTGAATTGGAACAAATATTTCGGTCATTCGATTGCCCCCTGCAAATGTCACAAGGTGGACTATTATGGAGTGTCTCTTTAAATAGGAAGTAAATCCATCAGAGAAATGTATCAATGCTCTGTCTGTGGAGTAATCATTCATTTTTAATTCTCTCTAGGAAACAGAGGTTTTGCTTAAAATGCCATCTTCAGGAAACCACAATATGTTTCAGATAACGTGGCCCTTGGCGTCAGGACATGAGCAGCTAGAATTAAGACACAGCTTTTAGCACGCTGCAGAAGAGAGCTGTATTTACTCTGCACAGTGCTGTTACAAGCTAGACAGCGGATATGGCTGTTGACATTAGCAATGTACATATAGCTCAGACTGACGTTCCTCTGTGCATGTGATGACCGCTAATAGTTTATCACTGCAAAGCCCATCCTTATATACAGTGTTCTCACATCCACCACAAGATGTCGCCATTGGGACCAATTGTCAACTGTGAAAAGATGCTCCACGGAGGGTGCAAAATGCATCCACACAGTGATGTTGTAGAACTACAACTCCCATGATGCTCTAACTGTCTATAGAATGCTTTAGAATTACACATTTTCATGGAAGCTGTAGTTCTTAAACGTCTGGGGATCTACCGTTTGGGCACCCCTGGTTTAAAGGGACACTCACAGACAGCCACATGTCAGATGCAATGTGCAGATTAGGTTACATTGAGCCTTGCTGGGTGTTTGTTTTAATATGTCCATAAACCTGCTCTTACTGCCCCTACCTCCCCATCTCAGTTTTAACCCTTTGTACTCAAATAAAAACACAAGTGTATGTGACACACTGTGATGGTTTCTAGGAGTTTAGACTAGTCTGATTTTTACAGTATAATACTGCTCACCATTGCTATTAAAAGAAAAGGGAGTATCTTAATTGGCTGAATCACATCCTGATTCACATATCGGCACAATTCACTGCAGAAACTACAAATATAAGTAACTTTTCATTTTGAATTATCTGTATTATTAAAAATTGTAGACGTATTAACTTCACCCGGTATTATCATCAGGTTCTTATCTACTGTTGTTGTTACTGTTCTATGGTCACCACAGATATAAGTCTTGACCGCAATTTAAATATCATAACTGTGGGGATACAGTAGAATCAGATTTGATTTACATGGACTTTCCAGCCGTCAAGGATTGTTGTTCCCATCACAGATTCCATCAACCCTTTAAAGAATGCCGGTCACAAAGTAACGCTCCTTCTTTAACGCAGGCAACAAAAGATCAATGTTTTAATGGAAACTATTCAGGGCCTAAACTAAAGCAGATTGCAAACTGCAATTATACCTTGCCAGGAGAAGAGCCTTTAAGGCTAGAGAAATGACCATGAGCTGGAAAACTTGCAGAATCCGGGTCGCTTAACCCCTTAAGGACACATGACATGTATGACATGTCAGGATTCCCTTTTATTCCAGAAATGTGGTCCTTAAGGGGTTAAAGCAATGCAAACAGTGCCTGCTGATATGGATTCTGAGATTGTTGGTTTTATACAGCTTTACATTTTTATTTTATTTTATTTTCTTTTAAAGGATCGTGCTTGTTCTGTGGGGGTTAAGATCATTTTTATTTATATCTTGGGGTATTTCAGCACTAAAATCCGCTTGCTTCAACAAGTCCTTTTTTTTTTTTTTTTTTTAATGAATATCACATGTGAGAAGCAGCTTGCCTCCAAGCTGGTCTTTGATTAATAGAGTGCTTTTATTCCTTTTATCTTTTTATATTTAAATTTCCCCGACAGTTCTGCAGGTGCTCTGCATTCTCATCCAAGTAGGAAAAAGGTAAAAAAAAAAACTGTAAAAATGAGTATCAGAGGCATCTACTGAGTGCACTATAATAATTTATGATCTTTTTACTTATATATTATATACTATGTCACAACACATGGACAAATGTTCTTCAAATTGGCTGGTTTGTGATAGGCTTGTGCAAACATTTTTTAGGACCGTTCCTCTGAATCGAAATTTTATTAATTCACACCAAAAGAATTGATATTCGGGGATTTACCTGTTAAGTCTTATTCAATGGAGAAACCCCACAGGTACATTCTGTATGGTCGATTCATATAGGTGTGGAATAAAAGGTCTATTTTGTACCGTACATACTATACTAGGTTCATGAGGGAGTAGAACCGTGAATATGCAGGTGCTCAGATGATAAAAAGTATGGCAGGATTAATGTTTATTAACAGGTTTACTCAAACAGGAATAATTATGCTAGTCACTAATAATAAAGTGTCACAGCTTTACAATAACCGTACAAAAAAGTCACAGCAAAATGACAGGTTAAACCTATTAAAAAAATATATATATGTTGGGTCAAGGATCTTCTGAAAGAAAGATGCAGTAGAATAGGAACAATGTATACGGGGAGCAAAGTGAGAATGAATTTATTTTAAAGGGGGGGTGGTGAAAGATTGCAATATGGAGTAGGCATGGGCAAAAATAACAAGGAAATCCAATATTGCAGCACTGCAGGATGCACTCACCCCAGACTTGACATCACACAGCGTATGAGTCAGGATGATGTTAAAGACCGCATGTGATCGACTGCTCTCCTCATTCATGTTGGTTGCAGCCACTGTGCGAGACTTGTTCCCCTCTGACATCAACGACTCAATGTCCTGGATGAAAGGACAGAAAGTTCAGCCTTAAAGGGACAGTTAAGCCTCAGAGTAACGCTGGTGTGGAAGAGATCATCTACTGTACGAGAATATTAGCCGTAATGTGGAATTGCTAATCACTTTGGTAACATCTTGCAGGTACAAAATGTAAAACACTTTGATACAGATTTTCAGACTGTATATAAGGCTGAAAAAGGTTCATTATGGGTTTGGTACACTTTATAAAAGCTTTTTTTTTTTGGAAGTTCACCAACTACTTGCCTTTATTGTAGAACAAGAACTTAACCACCAAAATATAAATACTTGTGTAGCAATAAAATACACTTATCAGCCACAACATTAAAATCACATGCCCAATATCATGTAAGTCAGGGCTCGACAAATCCCTAGGATTTTTGTCCTGGGGCCTGGGATTTGCTGGACAATGCAGCCCCAGAGGTGGCCGGCTGACTATTAGTGGAGCATGGGTGTGCGTGTCGGTGATTGGTCAGTCGGCTGGCCAGCTCAGGAGGAGCGTGGGCGGGCGGCCGGCCTTGTAAGTGAGAGCTTTGGCGTGCGCACGGATGGGAGCCTCCTGGAGATTGGAGGCAGACAGGCACATAAGGGAGCTGTAACAACCTCCCTGCTCTGCTCCCTCAACCGTCCGTAAGATGTCATTCTGGCCCCGGCATCACCAAACAGCGCTCTATGGAGCAGTGCAGGGAGAGGGCTGAAGCCCCACTGGACCACAGGGAAATCTGAACCCAGGTAGGGAGGCTGGGTAGTCACATAAATGTGAGTGATTATTGCAGTGACTGGGTGTGTTTGAGTCAGTCAGTGAGTGTGTGCGCATCAGTGAGTGTGCGCGTCAGTGAGTAAATTTGTTTAGATGACTGGTCCCCCTCGAATCACATGGCAAATGCGTTCTTACCTTTTCCCCCCACGCTGTACTAATATCACCGCAGCTGGCTCTGCCACCATGACTGCGATCATCAATCTTGATGATCTCAGTCAATCGAATGCTTTCCCATAGGAGGCTATTGCGCATATGTGGCAAAACACCATGCTGCGCCAATAAGCATCTCCTCATAGAGATGCATGGCGTGAAGACGCTATACGTAGGTGCTGCACACTGTGCAACACTGACCCAGGATGCACTCCACAGGCCGTCTGAGTGACTGTCACTAGAAGTGTTAGAAGGCAGCAATGTAAATACTGCCTTTTCTCTGAAAAGGCAGGGTTTACATTGAAAAGTGTGCAGGGACATATTATAGACACGAGAACAACTACATTAAAGGACCACTCTAGGCACCCAGACCACTTCAGCTTAATGAAGTGGTCTGGGTGCCAGGTCCAGCTAGGGTTAACCCATGTTTTAATAAACATAGCAGTTTCAGAGAAACTGCTATGTTTATTAATAGGTTAAGCCTTCCCCCAAAGCCTCTAGTGGCTGTCTCATTGTGATTTTCACAGTGAAAGCACGCCAGCGTCCATAGGAAAGCATTGTAAATGCTTTCCTATGCGACCGGCTGAATGCGCACGCAGCTCTTGCCGCGCGTGCGCATTCAGCCGACGGGGCGGAACGGAGAAGGATCGGAGGAGGAGAGCTCCCCGCCCAGCGCTGGAAAAAGGTAAGTTTTTACCCCTTCCCCCCTTCCAGAGCCGGGCGGCAGGGGGTCCCTGAGGGTGGGGGCACCCTCAGGGCACTATAGTGCCAGGAAAACGAGTATGTTTTCCTGGCACTATAGTGGTCCTTTAAGCTGTAGTGGTTCTGGTGACTATAGTGTCCCTTTAAGAATTGTATTTTTGACATTGAAAAACCTGGCTCCTAACTTTTTTTGCTGGCCTAGATTCCAAGCAAATTTGTCAAGCCCTGATGAAAGTCCCCCTTGTGTGGTCAATACAGCTCTGATATGTCAAGGCATGGACTCCACAAGACCTGTGTCCTGCAGAATCTGGCACCAAGACACTAGGAGCAAATTCACTAAGTCCTGCAAGTTGTGAGATGGGGCTTCCATGGATTGGATTTGGAGGCAAAGACAACAACTTGATCTCTGCCATGTTCCTTAAACCATTCCTGAACAGTGTTTGCAGTGTGGCAGGGTGTATCATCCTGCTGAAAGAGGACACTGCCCCCTGGGAACACCACTGCCATGAAGGGTGTTCTACAACAATATCTAGGTAGGTGGTGCATGTCATAGTTACATCCACATGAATGGCAGGTAACAAAGTCTCCTAGCAGAACATTGTCCAAAGCACTCTGCTGGCCTGCCTTCTTCCCATAGTGCATCCTGCTTCCATCTCTTTCCCAGGTAAACAACAAACACGAATGCACCTGATCCAAAAGAAACTGGGCTTCATCAGATCAGGCAATCTTTTTCCGGTGGTCCAGTTTTGACAACCCCGTCCTCATTGAAGGTGCTTTCAGCGGTGGACATCATTGGCTCTCTGAACGAACTACAGCTTCCACCATATGAAAATCAAGAGCAGTCTGTTGACTTGCTGCCTTATAAATCCCACCCCTTGACAGGTGCCACTATAAAAATTTAATGTTATTCGCTTAATCTCTCAATAGATTTAATGTTGTGGCTGATCGGTGTAGTTTGCACTTTTATTGCACAGTAACAGCTGGTTAAAGTGTATTGGAAGCTTTAGAATTCAAACAAATCTGCACCTTGTAGCTCATGACTGCCAGCTTTGAAAGGCCGTCCACATATGGACCCAAAACTTTGTGTTCTCGGACTTTGAGGGAATGGCGGCTCCTGGAAGAGAGACAATAGGGTTAACACATTAAAAATGGCAATTTGGCAGCAAAGAGGGAGAGACAAAAACTATATTAATACTGAAACGCAGTCAACAGCAGGAGTAAAAACACAGACAGAGTAACGATCACAAAAAAACGAATACAAATACAATCTCTCGCTGACGCTTAAATGTAAACATCTTACGGATGTGAAGGTTGGGCTGCACAATGCACAGCTTGTTATCCCACAATGCACCGCTTGATCTCACAAATTGACAACTGTAAGTTTTATCTATAATAAACGTTGATCTATGCATTTGCTTGTTGGCTTGATGGCACATCAGTGAGCCTTGGTAGATGAGCTTACACTTTATTGGCCATTTCAGTGATACTAAAAGCCTCAAATATTTAAATGTGCGTAGGGATTTGGGATTGAGCCCAGGTAACCTTTGTTTTCTGCATTGGGCTGATGAGAACTAAAGCCCTTTGCTTCTGCCTAAGAGTAGTGGGCGCTTGAGTGAAGGGCATAATTGAGGTCCCCCCCCTTTATCAAACCTAGTTTATTAACCCCTTAAGGTAACATGACATGTCACGATTCCCTTTTATTCCAGAAGTTTGGTCCTTAAGGGGTTAAAAGTCTTCTGAGAAGATCAAAGTATATATCAGTTTTTCTTTGGGCACCCTATAAAAGGAATGCTACTCTGAAGGTGGGCTTTTTGTTTAAAACACATCACAGACTGAGCAACACATAAATGTAGCTCTAGTCATTAATAGATTTGTTTTGGTGAATGTTCTTTTCATACAAGATATATTAATTTTTGGAAGTTTATAAAAGCATATTAAACTGGAAAATCAGTTACAGCCATTCTAAATTACAGACTTAATCATAACTGATCGCTAATTAAATCTAATTACAGACTAAAGCAGTCGTGACTATGATAAAATAACAAGGTTTCAAGAGTCTAGTCCTGACATCACTAGACTAAAAATAATAGATTATTACAGCCTAGTCCTGACATCACTAGACTACAAATAATAGATTACTACATCTTGCATAGAGAGGTGTAGCTCGCCCCAGACCCATACAAGATATTTGGCATAGACGCAAGTAACTTCATTCATGAAAGTCAGCAAGTTAATAGATTAATCTTCATCAATGAATACGAGTGACTTCGCCCTTCTCCTGTACATATTTTAACAATGACAACAGATGAGAAACGTGTTTACATGAAATGAACAATGCTAAGAACAGAACATGCTGAAAAAAAAAAGGTGCAAAGCCTGGTTATTTTCACACACACACAAAA